TATAATAGTCACTTCTTCCTGTTGAATTGATCCCTTAATCATTACATAGCACCCTTCTTTGTCTCTTTTAACAGTTTATGTATTTGCCGGCGCCGTGGCTGAATAGGCTAATCCTCTGCCTTGCGGCGCCGGCACACCGGGTTCTAGTCCCGGTTGGGGCACCGGATTCTGTCCCGGTTGCCCCTCTTCCAGGCCAGCTCTCTGCTGTGGCCCAGGAGTGCAGTGGAGGATGGCCCAGGTGCTTGGGCCCTGCACCCCATGGGAGACCAAGAGAAGTACCTGGCTCCTGGCTTTGGATCAGCGCAATGCGCTGGCCGCGGCAGCCATTGGAGGGTGAACCAACGGCAAAGGAAGACCTTTCTCTCTGTCTCTCTCTCTCACTGTCCACTCTGCCTGTCAAAAAAAAAAAAAAAGTTTATGTGTTAAAGTCTACTTTGTCTGATATTAGGATAGCTCTTTTTGGTTTTTGTTAGCATAGAATATCTTTCCATCCTTTCTCTTTCAGTATGCATGTATCTTTGTTGGTGAGATGTGTCTCTTGTAGGCAGCAAATAGATGGGTTTTATTTTTTAATCCGTTCTGGTCTGTGTCTTTTATTTTTATTTTGGTTTATTGTACATGCTTTATTAAAATGGTACTTGTATTTACAGTATCTGCAGAGAGTCCCTTCCAACACGCTCTCCCACACATTCAGACGTGGCCACACAGACATCCACGCCACAGCCCCAGCCCGTGCACCCATACCAGTGAGCTGTGAGGATCAGACTCCTAAAACTAGGCAGCTGTTGGAGAATAAGACTTGATTAGTTTTTTCAGTTTTTTTGAAAAGAGAAAAATATGGGAACTGCATTTGGCCATTACAATGCTAATTATGTTTGTGTATATTAATATATATGACAGTTAACACTGAATATTCCTTTTACATTCTTTACACACAGAATGATATCAAGGTTTTGCAATCAACAGAATATTCTAACTTCAGTCTCAATGCTGCTTATAATGACTTCTGTATTCATATAAGGGCTTACCCTAAAAATAATTCAGGTCTATGTAAGTGAAATAAGGCACAGTTAATATTGATCTGACTTAGGAGAAGGGATGGGATAAACAGGTTTCAAATGATCTCACTGTTGGAGAATTAACTAACTTAAACCCACTCGAAATCTCATCTCCTAATTTACAAAGATTTCTTAGAAGCTTATCTTTTTCTTTCCTCCCCTGACAAAGCCCAAACGGAAATGTTTGTTAATTCTCATCTCAATTTCTCAGTAGCCTAAAGTACTCAAATTGATGTGCAGGCTTCACCTTCCCTGCCACGGTCTCCTCCCTCCTCAGTGCTAAAATAAACACCATGTGAAACAGGAGTCCCTTGTGTTTTGAGGAGATTTGTACACCTGAGTAGTAAATACATATCTGGTTGTCTTTGATATATTTGAAAACTTTAAAAAAAAAAAGAGAGAGAGGAGAGAAGAAAAAAGGGGAAAAAAGGGGGAGAAAAAAAACTTGTGACTTTCTTGGTTTTTAAAAAAAATCCATTTCCTTTCAGGATGAGGAAGCCCCATTAGACATTACAAACAACCGCAACCAATGGCTTTGGCAGCATAAATAATGTCTAGTATTCTAATCCACATAGTGAGACTCAAATATATCTCGTACACAGCCTATTGAATGTTTTTTGCAGGAGGTGAATCAAACCCAAAGACACTGGACATACTGGAAGAGGCAGGAAGAGCTGCCGTTCTGAAGGCCCCTGACTGTGCCTGTTTATTGTGATCCTTGGTATCTGCTTCATCTGCATATGTTGATGGTTCTTCTAGTTTTAGGAGTCTGCCCACATAATCATATTTTGCTTTAAACTGCATTTTCCATTCTCGAACACTCTCCAGTTGTACTGCATTCAAATCTGAGAGATCATCATATTCCTCTCTAAGTGCATCTTTATCTAGACAAAATGTTGCCAGTCTTCTGGAGGCATCCCTACCGCAAATATTCCATATGGTCCGCCAGGCCGTGCAGCCTGCTGCCTTTGGTCACGTTGAAGGCTTTCCTATTGACCGTGAGCAGGATGCACGGGGTATGGCACATGCTACTCCATGCTGAAGTCCCACTTCTTCATCGGTCTATTTCTTTTAACTAAAGGGTTGAGACCATTTACATTCAAGGTGACTATTGATGAGTAATGACTTTGCTCTGCCGTGTTTCGATAAATATCCCTATTTTTTACTTTGGATTTCCTTTGTGCTTTTACTGGAAGATTTTCTTCCTGTGCCTTCTTTAGTAGTGATAACCATGCTTCTGTGTGCAGCACATCCTTAAACATCTTTTGTAGGGCTGGATAGGCAGTGACAAATTCTTTCCGTTTCTGTTTGTTACGAATGATCTTTATTTCACCTTCATTCATAAATGAGAGTTTTGCAGGGTACAATATTCTGGGTTGACAGTTTTTTTCTCTTAAGACTTAGAATATATCTTGCCATTCTCTCCTAGCCTATAGGGTTTCTGATGAGAAGTCTGCTGTGAGTCTAATTGGAGATCCTCTGAAGGTAATCTGGCATTTCTCTCATGCACGTTTTAGAATCTTTATGTTTTACTGTAGAGATTTTGACTGCAATGTGTTGTGCTGAAGATCTTTTCTGGTTATGTCTACTAAGAGTTCTATGTGCTTTCTATACTTGGATGTCCCTGTCTCTCTCCAAATTGGGGAATTTTTCTGTAATTATTTCACTTAACAGGCCTTCTAATCCATTCTCTCTTTCTACATCTTCAGGAACTCCTAAGACCCCTTTATTCACTTGATATTCTATAGATTTCCAACACTATTTTTTAGCTTTCTAGTTTCTTCTTTTTTTTTGGGGGGGGGGGGGGGATCTGACTGTAAAATTTCCAGCAATTTGTCTTCTTCTTTTTTTTTTTTTTTTGACAGGCAGAGTGGACAGTGAGAGAGAGAGACAGAGAGAAAGGTCTTCCTTTGCTGTTGGTTCACCCTCCAATGGCCGCCACAGCTGGCACGCTGCGGCCGGCATGCTGCGGCCAGCGCACCACGCTGATCCGAAGGCAGGAGCCAGGTGCTTCTCCTGGTCTCCCATGGGGTGCAGGGCCCAAGTACTTGGGCCATCCTCCACTGCACTCCCTGGCCACAGCAGGGAGCTGGCCTGGAAGAGGGGCAACCAGGACAGAATCCAGCGCCCCAACCGGGACTAGAACCCGGTGTGCCGGCGCCACAAGGCGGAGGATTAGCCTAGTGAGCCGCAGCGCCGGCCGCAATTTGTCTTCTAACTTAGATATTCTTTCTTCTGCTTCACTGAGTCTGTTGTTAAGATTTTCCACTGCATTTTTTTTATTCTATTGAATTCTTCATTTCCAAAATTTCATTTTGATTTCTCTTTAAGATCTCAATTTCATGGGAAAAATTTTCTGTCATGTACAGATTTCATTAGTTCATGGATTTGCTTCTGATTACTTCTAAGTAACCCTACGATCAATTTTTTGAGTTCCGTTTCTGGCATTTCTTCAATCTCTTCATCTGCATTCTAGTATTGAAGTGTTGTCTTCTTTCGGGGGCATCATGTTGTCTTATTCTTGTTTCTTGAATTTCTGTGTTTATTTTTAGGCATTTATAGAGGTATTAGTTTTGTTTTATTTTCTTTTCCCCCGTGATAGCTTTTACCTTTGGACCATCCCTCTCTGGCTTAGTGGAGTGTCCACTTTTTCAGTGAATACTCAGAGGCGTGTGGTGGGTGTGGCCAGGGAGCTCTCTTCAGCACGCCAGTGTGAAGGGAGTATCCAAAGTGAAAGCCAGGTTGGGTTTGGTAAATCTCTCTCTCTTTTTTTTTTTAATCAGAGGGGAGTTTTGTTCTGCTCTGTTGGCATAGTCTCACGCTCACCTCCTTTCCTCCAAGGAGACCAATGCCTAGGCACTAGCCCCAGTGGGTACAATATTTGTCCCCGCTGCCGCAGAACCACACAAAGGATCTGTCTCAGTGTACGTACGGATCCCACAGCAATGACCCTCACCAGGGAATCAGGGAGCCTTGAGCATGTGGAGCTGCCCACAGTGACTGCCCAAAGACCCAGCCATACCCTGCACCCTCCCACGCAGCCACAGTATTTTCACATTCCCAGCACACAAGCCTCCCACAGTCACAAGCACGCAGCTCCCTGTCAGTGCTCCCAGCCAGACTCAGGTGTCTCCCCTTGCTGGATGCTGGGCGTGCCAACATGAGTTGGTGCAGCTCTTATGTGCATCCAAAGTGGCACCTGCCCTCTGTCGACTTCTTACAGGATGCCAGTGCAGGGTGGTTGGGGAGAGAGAAACGTGCCCCCCTTTGTTCCCCTCTAGTTTGGCAGATACACTGTCCCCCACAGGGCTACAAGCCGGGCCCACACCATGCTCTTCCTGCTGCTTTATTGCAAATGGCTTGGACTGCTGCAGTATGGTCTCACCTCACTCTCCAGAGTGGGTGCTGGGACTCACAGCTGCTGGGTCCTGAGTTGTACATGTCCACACCCTCCACGTAGTGTCCTGTGACAGTTTCCTCTGCTGTTTTCTCCCTCTCTGCTTTTTTTAAACTATCTTCCCCTAGAATAGAGCAATAAACTCTCTCCCTATTCTGCCATCTTGCATCTCTCTCCGATACTTCTCCCAGCTGTGAACGTGTTGGCATTTGTAGCAGCCCTGTAAGGTAGGCATGTTTGTTGTCCCCTTTTACAGATGAGCAGCCTGTGGCCAGAGTTTAGATAACTCACCCGACGTCGTGTGGCTAGTGAGAGGAAGAGACTAGGCAGGGCAGGGACTCAGGGCAGAAAGTCTGACACAGAGGTGTGGGGTTTCAAGTTAGCTGGCTAGCCTGGGGTTTCTCCCTGGGCTCAGGAAGCTCTTGGGAGGCAGGGTCCATATGTGATCTGTCCCTCACATCCTAGTGCACACCCTGGAGCCAGACACGCAATGGGACCCAGCGTAACTGCAAGTGACCTCGGATTGAATTTAGTTTTCCTAACAGGTCGTGGTGCCTCCCAGAGAGACAAATTCCACTTTTCAAGTGACGTCTCAAAATGTTGGACAAGTCACCGTTTATCTGCACCAAAATAATTCCAACCAGACCGGGTAGGCGAGTCTGCTTCCATGGGGAGGGGCGGCCATGCTGGGCAGCTGGGGGTTGTCTTTGGAAGGCCAGCCTCAGCTCATGCCAGCCCCTCACTCCTTCCTAGCCCCAGGATCCTCTTCTCAGTGATCCGCAGCAACACCATCAGCATCGTAAACCAGGTGATCGGCTGGATCTACTTTGTGGCCTGGTCTGTCTCCTTCTACCCGCAGGTGATCAAGAACTGGAGGCGGAAAAGGTAACCTACCCAGCTTTACGTGGAGGCTGCGTGGGGTGACGAGAGCAGGGCGTCCCAGTGGGGCTGTAGGCTGCCCCCTCTGCTCTTCTCTCAGCCTGCCCCTGTCGTGATGGGCGAGCTGTCTCTGAGAGCCTGGATTGGACTTCTGGGCCCATCCTTGCCCATTGCAGCCTCTCCGTGTGAAGCCTCCTCATTTACGTGGGGAGTGGGCGGAGAGGGAGGAAGTCCACCCAGTCTGCTCTGCTCTGGGTCTGGCCTGGCCTGGAAGACCGAGGTGTGAGGCCATGGGTCCTGCAGCCATGGACAGCAGGCAGTCCTGCCAGGATGTTAAGGACTGGGGTGGGGCACAAGCTGCCCTGCAGGCACGCTGGATACAAGGGGACACACACACACTGGACTCACAGAGAGCCAGGGAAGAGTTGCTTCCCTGCTGCAGGGGGTACCCGCTCCCCCTGGGACCAGGAGGCAGGGAGGGCACCCTTCCCGAGAGGGCAGGGGTTGCAGAGCAGGAGGGACCTGCCTCTCTCCCCATGCCGCGGGGTCCTCAGCCTAACCCCGCCCGGCTCTGTCCCCTCCACCCCCCGCAGTGTTGTTGGTCTGAGCTTCGACTTCGTGGCCCTGAACCTGACAGGCTTTGTGGCCTACAGCGTGTTCAATGTCGGCCTCCTGTGGGTGCCCTACATCAAGGTATGTCCCTGCCCACCCTCCACAGCCCTGCCTGAGCTGCCTCTCCCCGGGCTGCCCCTCACTGCCCAGCTTCTCCCCGCCCCTCCAGGAGCAGTTTCTCCACAAATACCCTAATGGCGTGAACCCCGTGGACAATAATGACGTCTTCTTCAGCCTGCACGCAGTTGTCCTCACTCTGATCGTCCTCGTGCAGTGCTGCATGTATGAGGTGAGATGTCAGGCTGAGCGGCGGGGCCCAGGCAGCACCCACCCGACCCGCTTCCTGCCGTGCTCCAGCCCGGGGCACAGAGGACACCCGTGAGCCCAAGTTTGGAGTGAGGGACCCCGTCAGAGCTGGAAGGGGTCGAAACAGTGGAGGCCCCAAGCCCAAGGACTGGGAGGCAGCCAGGGAAAGGCGCTTGCTTTCAGTCCAAGGGTGAGTGGAGTCCCCACGGGGCAGGGGAAGGGCAGGACACTCTCCCCAGCGGCACAGATTGTGGAGGCTGAGGGACATCCGAGAGGAGCTGTGAGCACATGGGTGTGCCGGGGTACAGGTGCCAGTAGGGGAGCAGGCCCCCATCAGGAGGGTCCCACGCGCCAGGCTGAGGAGCCTGGACCAAACCTTGTTGCCAGGGACCCCTCCGGTTGGCAGCAGTGCTCTCAACACCCTGCGGTTGTGCCGCCTCCCTCCTAGCATCCCTGTCACGCACCTGCAAGGCCACGCTGCTCTTCGACCCCCAGATGCCCAGTTTCCCTGCCCTTCCCTGTGAAGCCTGGCCATAGGAGGCCTCCTTTGCGGGAAAAGGCAGGGGTGGAGGGTCAGACTACAGGGACCAGGCGCCCTTGGGGCACAGAACAGTCAACAGCTGGGCAGGGACCAGGTCCAGGCCTCCAGGGTATTGATGTCTACTTCCCAGTTCGCTTTGCTCCTGAGTGAGCTCTGAGAGGTGCCTCGTTCTGCACAGTGGGTACCAAAAGCAGACAGGAGCAGGAGAGTCTAAGAGGGGCTACACGGGAGACCCTGATAGTAAAAAGGATTTGTTGGTGCTGGGGCTGTGACCCTGCCCACTACCGACCTGGCCGCTGGCCCCAGCCCAGCGCTGACTTGTTCCGTGGCCCAGATGAGGCTGTTGATCTCTGCATAGGCTCTGCCAAGGTCAGCCGCAGCCTGCAGCTCTCCCCCATGGCCCATCATCCACCCAGTTTCTAAGCCGTCCCCTCCTGAGTCATCACTCTAATCTGCAATTCTACCCTCACCCTTCCCAGAGAGGCGGCCAGCGCGTGTCCAAGCCAGCCATTGGCTTCCTGCTGCTCTCCTGGCTCTTCGCATTCATCACCATGATTGTGGCCGCGGTTGGGGCCACCATGTGGCTGCAGTTTCTCTTCTGCTTCTCCTACATCAAGCTCGCGGTCACGCTGGTCAAGTATTTCCCACAGGTACTCGCAGGGCCCTCCTGCATTTTCACATGGTGGTGCGGGGAGAGCTGAAGCCACAGGAGGCAGGGAACCCCAGTGGGGCACCCCGACAAGCACCTCCTGTACAGAGGGTTCCTCCTGGGAGGGCCCTCAGCCTCCTCCTGAGTGCTCAGTCCCACTCAGGTCCAGGGACTTAAGAGTCAAATACATCTTCCCCCAAGAGAAGCAGCAGCCAACCGCAGACTCCCACCTGTGAACCACAAGCCTCTTTTAACTTGCCCCATTCCCAGTGGGAAAGCTCCGTTCTCAGCTACCCCAGCGCTGGGAACCTTGTGCTCCGTGGGCTCAGGAAGGAAGGAGTGTTGGCCAGGCACAGGGCTAGACCCTGAGGGCCAGCAGAACGTAATCCTATGAACAGGAGGGGAGCCAGGCAGGCAGTCCAGGCTGGGGGCAGGGACGGACAGGGTTAGCCTGCACAGAGGCACAGGCAGAAGTGCGGGAGGCAGCAGGGAGCAGGGCTGGCCCAGCAGCATTGACAGTGTTGGAGCTGGGGAGGGCCAGGTCTCAGGGGTCTTGGGAGGGCTCCTGGGCAGGGGAAGGCATTGGGTGAACTAAGTCCTCAGCCCCAGGGAAGAAGGAACCCAGCTGGAGAGGTCTGGAATCATCCGGGCCTGCAGAGGCAGCAGCAGGTACGGAAGAGGCTGGGAGCAGACAAGGCCAGGAGCCTGACTGGGAGAAGACCAGCAAAGGGGCCCAGACTTCCCTCCTAGGCTGGAGGGAGGGAGAGGGCACCCGTCAGGGAGACCCAGAAGGCAGCATGGTTTGGAGAGGCAGCAGGAAGAAGGGGATGTTAAAGCTGGTCCAGCTACTAGCCCAGCCAGGCCGAAGTGGGCATCAGCTCCACTCTGCAGATGGGGAAACTAAGTCTAGGAGAACTCAGCAGCTTGTCCAGGATGGAACGGGACGCCACAGTGGGAAGTGTGCGGTGCGGGCTGAGTGCGGGGAGAGTGCAGCTGCACGTGTGTGGAGTCAGGAGACAGGAGACCAGCAGACAGCTTGGTCCACAAGGGAGCAGGACAGAAGGTGGCATCCGCCCCTGCCTCCACCAGTTGTGAGGGGCAGGGGGGCCTGGAGGAGGGCGTTTGCCTGCTGTGCACGCCAGGACCACCCAGACTGTCCCCTCGGCCGAGGCTCGTCACAGCCCAAAGGTCACTGTGTTTGTTGGAGCCAAGGCCAAGCACACGTGTGGGAGGAATTAGAGCCACTCTTGTTTGGAGCAGCAGTCACAAGGCACAGGCGGCAGCCACCCAGCCCCCTCACCGCCTCTGTCTGTCTGGCCCAGGCCTACATGAACTTTTACTACAAAAGCACCGAGGGCTGGAGCATTGGCAATGTGCTCCTGGACTTCACCGGGGGCAGCTTCAGCCTCCTCCAGATGTTCCTCCAGTCCTACAACAATGGTGAGTCACCCAGTGGGCTGCAGGCACGGGGGGGCCTGGCTTCCGGGGACCCCCTTCCCACCAGCCCTGCAGCCTGGTTCCAAGCCGATCCCAGCCCTGCCACCCCCCTCCAGGAGAGACTCCCACAGGGGCCTTTGTAGCTGAGGATTTGGTTTCCTGGGCAGGGGAGGACCCTCTCCCCGCCCCGGCCCTGCACTCCGGCTGCTTCCGGAGCTGCCAGTCTAGAACCAGGTTCTGTCCCCTCTGGCTGTTACAGACCAATGGACCTTGATCTTCGGAGACCCAACCAAGTTTGGACTTGGCGTCTTCTCCATCTTCTTCGATGTCGTCTTCTTCATCCAGCACTTCTGCTTGTACAGAAAGAAACCGGGGTACGACCAGCTGAACTAGCGCCCAGGGACCTGGTGGGGAAGGCCTGGCCCAGTGAAGGCCAGAGGAGTGGGCTGGTGCGCAGAGCTGGCCAGTATGCTGGCTGGAGGAGCACTTTCCCTGAGGGCCCAAGACCTTAAACTTGAACCAGCCCTCCTGCATCCAGGCCCTCCCTCGGGGACAGACAGACGCCAGACTCTGGTCAGAGATCAACAGCCAGCCCTCAGGCGGTCCTTGCCAGCCTCCCCGGAGGTCTCCAGCCTTCCGCAGGCCTCCCTGGCCATGCTGCTGGCCCTCCTGCATCTTGATGCCACCATCTCTGTTTTCTTTAAGGCTTCAGGCAGCACCCACAGGTCTGGCAGCCATCTCAGGCACGACTGGGCGCTGAGCTTGCAGTGGAGGCCTTGCCCCAAACAGCCATTGTTTCTGGGAGCAGCGTGAAGGGCTGGCCTTACAGCCGGCACAGCCAAGGGTGCCTTGCTGCCACCGCTGTTCTCAGAGACCCAGTGGTCAGATGCTGTGGCCGACGGACTGAGGTGCTGGTGCTGGTGGCGGAGGGGCCAGGACTTCGGGGTTAGGCCTTGGGCTGCTCGGGCTGAAGGTCACTTTTCCTGACACTGTTTCTGCCTAACTCGGCTCCCTCCACTGCAGCAGCAGTGGCTCGGGCCAGGGCCTGATAGAGTATTTCCCAGCCCCGAGCTGCCCATGGGTTGGCTCAGAACTGGACTCAGGCCAGCATCCTCTGGCCGTCTACCCCACAGTGAGCCTATCACACTAACTCCTTCCAGCCCTGGGCGAGGGAGGTTTCACAAGTGGCTGACTTGGTTCCGCCCTCTCTCCTACCTCTACTTTCCCCGAGCCCGGGGGCCCCATGGGCGCATGCCTTACTGCCCCTGTCTCCGCCAGTCTGTGCCTTAGGACCTGTCAGACCTACCTGAGTAGCACTCCTGGAGTGAGGGGAAGGCCCCCTGCCCTCATATCCCCCAGACCCTACCTGAGACCCCTTTTGTGCTGTTCAGGAGCCTTCAGTTAGAACTTGAGCCCAAGTCACTCAGTCTCCACGGGCCTACCCCTGGCACAGCCCCTCCCTTCCCAGCCAAGCTGATCTTTGTGGTGGGTGGAATGGAGGGGGGAGGGTCCCAGGAGGTGCCTTGAGCTTGTCAATCCACTCTTTTTACTACAAAATCCCTGTGAGGGGCCCATGCCCTCGATTAAACCTGACCTGTTTGTTTTCTGCGCACTCTAAGCACTCATGAGTTTCCAAGGCAGGTGTGGGACCTGCAGGGCCAAGTCCTTGGGGCTTAGGGAGACGCCCTGTTTGCCTCGTGTAAGGCAACGCATAGGGCTGTGAAGTTTGCTGACCCAACATGGCCGAGTGCTGACCCTGCACATCATTCATCATGGAGCCCTCTTGGGCAGTGCAAGACGCCTGCACACCCAGGGCCAGGTAGGTCTCACAGGTACCACGGCCTGCTGCTTGTGCTATGGGTGTAAGCAGGGGCGGGTGAGGTATGGAGGGCGTGCTGCCCCTGGGAGCCCAGCAGTGGAGGCCTTGCTCTGCAGATCCTTGTCCAGCTGTAACACATGCCGAAGATGACAGCCAGCCTGCCATGTCTGTATACGCTTTAAAAGATCTCAGAATCTTGACTCTCCTTTAAGAATCACACCTGGCAGTGCGAGACGGATCCAGGAATGGCCACAACTTCCCAGGGCTGGTAGGCAGGGGGCTGGGTACTCTGCTTGGACCCAACTGGCCAGACCTCAGCCCCTGGTGACATCTGGGGTTGTGTCCTGGCTGGGGCATGTTTCCCAAGACCCCCTGGGTGTACGAGGTGCAGCCCAGGTGGGAGCTGAAACTGAATTACACAGGCGGGTTTCAGGCATTCAGGGGCCAGTCCCGGCCCCCACCCCAGTTCCAGTGCAGGTGCATCCAGATGTGGTCCTTGCCTGCTACAGCGGTTCCCACTGAAGCTCCAAGGTCCCACCAGCTCGGCTTCCCTGGCAAGAGGACCTGGGAATGGTCGGGCCTTGTCTTCTTGCCTCAGAGCAGCCAGGGACAAGCCAGCCACCCTGTGCTCGCCCTGAGCCACCCGCACACACCACGCCCCCAGCCCTGGCAAAGAGCTCTCATGGATTCCAGCGTTGTTTATTGGGCAGATGTCAGAGGTGGAACAGTGGCCTCCAGCCCCGTTTCCATGGTAACCAGAGTGAGGCCTGTCCACTTGCTAGGAGCTGCCCTGGATGTGAATTAGTAAGCTAAATTACAGAGCAGAGTGGGCATCTCCAAACAGTACAATAAAAAGGCTTTGTATCAAAGTTGGACTAAAAAAATACAAAAGTTAAACCCACAGGCGTGGAGGACAGTGGCAATCCTGAGATGTCCGCCTCAGAGCTCTGCTAAATCCTGCAGGCAGGCAGGCCCCAGGGAGGCCACCCCTGGGAAGTGGGGTGAACAAGGGGCCTGCCTGCCTCCCCTGGGGCAGGCCTTCCCAGTGCCTCTGGCAGCATGGGTCCAGCCCCTAGTGGACAACACGGAGAAAGTGTGGGGCGCAGGCACTGCGGAGGTGACACGGGAGGCAGGGCAGGGTGGGAAAGGCGTCCCCCCACCAGCCTTCCCCAGCTTTGGCGGCTCTCAGGAAGTCTTTCCGGCTTCCCTGGGGCACTGCTGTGCAGGCAGCAGGGTCTGGGGGCTGAGCCTAGGGTCACTGCAGCCTGGAAGCCACTTGGCCCCAGACCCTTCTTCCCAGCCCTCAGTTTCCGAGGGAGCCAGCTGGTCCCAGAGGCCTCGGGCTGGGGGCGGGAGTGTGACAGGGAGGCGGGATCAGGCCTCTGGGATCAGCTGCGGCTCAGCATTCAGCCACAGGCGGGACGTGGGACAGATAGCGCGTGGGTAGTGGTGTCGCTATACAAACAGGCACGAGCCAGGGAGCCTGGCGGGCTGCTAGGAGAGCATGGACTGCTGCACGGCCTTCTGCAGCGACTGCCGCGTCACCAGCAAGCGCACCACCTCCTCCGACCGCTTGGTGAGCCGCTTCCGGGCCTGGTCGTGTGTGACCATGGTCATGTCCCAGCCGTTCACCTGGCCCACGGAGAGAACAGCCCAGCTCAGCCCACTGCCCTCTGACATCTAGAGGCCAGGGGGCTTTAAGAGGCCTGGGTCACCCCTCCACCTAGCGTCCCTGAAGTACACAGAGGAGAGCCGGCTTCCTCCGGGGCAGTACCAGCATGGGCTCCAAAGGGCTTTGGTGAGTGTCTCCCAGCCCCCACCCACAAGTGTTTCAACCCCTCTAGCCCCAGCCATGTTTTCCTCCTCTGGGACACCTGTTACCTGCATGATCTTGTCTCCAATCTGCAGGCCAGCAATTTCAGCAGGGCCTCCTTCAGACACCCGTGTGACATAAATGCCCTGGGAAGAGAAGCCTGGGTCAGGCCCTGTGGCCCCTGGACTGGCTCTCATACACAGAGGAGGCCCAGTATAGCACACCCATAGCTGTCCCTCTGTCCCTGTCCCCAGCCTCCCCTGGCACACAGCTGGTGAAGGCTATGCCAAGCAACCAGGGATGCCCCAGCCCTGGCTGAGGGCCACCTCCCGCTCCTCCTGGGCAGCTGGGCAGACCGACCTCCACCCCTACTCTTTCCCAGCCGATCATTTCCTGGACCCTCTGAGATGGGGTCTGCTCTTCCCACACAGGCCCAGGAAGCAGTGCCCACCCTCTCAGGCCTCCGGTCCCCCTCACCTTGTCTGTCTTGTCCTCCGAGAAGGGGTTCTGGGAGGGATCCTGGTCAATGCCCCCTCCAATGCTGAAGCCCAGGATTAAGTTCTCCCCTTGACGCAGCTTGTGAATTTCAACTCTTTGCTGGCAAACAAAAAAGGAAGCTGGCTTAGGTGGGCATGTAGAGAAGGCCTCTGGTAGTGCCAGGCCAGCTCCGAGCCGTGCCAAGGGGTGGGGCCCGGAGTCCCCTACAGGAATGCAGCTGGTCCCCAGCCCTGGAGGCTGACCCCCTCACCCAGTCCTGCCCTCCACTTTCCCCCTTCCCAGTCTCAGGTGCCAGTCTTAGTCACAAGTGCTCACAGCCCCTCCTGGCCTATGAGCCAGGGCTCCACCTAGGACACGGGGTGGGAAGGGCCAGGCCCTGAAAAGGTGACACTGCCGTTGGGAGCCAGCCTGTCACAAGCAAGGCAGGAGGTGCTGGGACAAAGTGGAGCAGATCAGCCGGGGACAGAAGAGGACTGCAGATGCTGGACGTTTGTGACACTGGCACCTGCAAGGTGAGATGGGGCTGGTGCCAGACAGAGAAGTCTGGGATGCAGGACCACCAGACTGGTCCCAGATGAGGTCAGGGGTCTCCTGGAGCCCCGGGCCCTGCTCATGCACAGTGCAGGTGGCAGAGAAGTGTTCTGGGGCTCTCCCAACATGCTCTGGGGCTGGGGTGCTCAGAGCCTTCAGCAGGCACCCTCAAGTCACTGCTGGGAGCCACACCAGATCAAAGCTGGGAGCTGGGGGGGAGGGAAGGTGACTTGCTCGGCCCTGAGGAGGCTTCACCAAGGAGGGATCATTTTGAACCAGGACTTGAGAGGATGATCAGGAGTTTGGCTGCCTGGCCTTGACCCTGGAACCCAGGGGAGCTGACCAGGCTTGGGGAGTAGGACAGGGCATGGTCAAGTTTGAGGCTAGAACAACTACTTGGGCAGTCAGAGCAGGTGCCTCAGAGGCTGGGGTGGAAGCCTGGGGACAGGAATGCTGAACACGGCAACATTCCAATGGGGGGACCCAGGAGAAGGAGCAGGTGGGGCTGGAGTGCTAGGAGCCATCCGGGAAGGTGTCCAGGAGGCAGATGGTCAGGGAGAGGCCAGGCCCACCCAGGCGGCTCCTGGTGCTGCAGACCTGGGCGCGGCATAGTCTTACAGCCTGAAGGAAGACCTTGGGCCCACCTGTGGCATGGGGTGGGGAGGAGGAAGCATGAACCCTGAGGCCCACTGGGTCCAGTACCCAAAAGAGGGCTCCTGCAGGTCCATCCCACCTCCTCCAGCACATGCCCTCAAGGGAGAAAAGCGCACAGCCCTTGAGGTGGGAGGGCTCTGGCACTGCCTCGCTGGGTGCTCTCTGGCCCCTCCCTTGCACCACCTTTATTCCACTTGAGAAGCAAAGCTGACCCCTAGCCTCTGGGCAGCTGTTGGGCTCTGCAGAGCTAAGCTGGTGCCCGCAGGGTGAGGCTCAGGACGGCTGTCAGTAGCTAAGCAGGGCCTTCTCCAAGTTCACCCTCGTGCCACCTTTATCAGCAGCCTCTTTGCCTGGCTGCAGGAGCCCATGGGAGATAGCACAGCCAGTCCCTGCGGCTCCAGGGCTGGGACTTTGGCTTGACCTCTCACAGGCGGAAACCTCTGGGGAGCTGGGCAGGAGACCTGGGTCCTTCCTGGCGGCTTCCTTTATGGCTGGGCGTAACCGGACTTCTTTCTGGGACTCTGCGGGAGGGGGAGGGGGTGGCCTCCAGGGCCTACTCAGCTGGGACACAGACGTGTGGGTGTCAGCTCCCTTTCTCCCTTCGCCTGTTCTGACAGCACCTGGCACACGGTGCGCCGAAAGTGCCAGGCGGGAGACCTGCCCCTGGCCCCAAGGGCTGGGGATCCAGCAGCTGAGAAAAGGATCTGGCTGGTAGGGTGCGCATTCACTCCAATGGGGCAGGGGCCTCCCTCCGGCCAGCCCCACCCCCAAATCTCGCTCCTCGGGGCGGTGGCGCCGGCTGGAGCGGAGGAAGCACTTCCTCATTCCAGAGGCTGCGACTCACGGACGTCGGGCCGGCGCCCGCCCCCCGCGGCTGCCCAGCTGGGGGCACCGAAGCCCTGCGAAGGGGCGCTTTCCCAGACGCCCGCATCCGGAGCCTTGCTCCCCCGTGCTCCCCGCGCCGGCAGGCCAAAGCAGCCTGCCTCTTGGGCGACGGTGCGCGGAGTCTGGCCTCCGTCTGGAGCCTCGGGAGGCTCCTAGCCCCCAGAATGAGCTTCGTGGCCGGAGGAGGCTGCGGCCGCGCTCCTGCAGAGACCCGAGCCCTGACAGCGGGTTTGCACGGGCCCCCGCCCCGGTTCGCTGCTTTGCAACCTGACTGGGTGTCAGTTTACCGCTCTGAAAAATGGGGGCAAGTCGAGACGAAAAAGAGCCCGCGCGAGTACACTCACCACCACCGCAGTGACCGGCTGGCCCGGGATGTAGGACATCTCGATCCCAATCTGGTAACCGGGGACCGCTCAGCGAAGCCCGCAGCTGGGATTGCCGCGGCCGCTCCCTCCCTGGTTAACAAAGGCACCCTGGCTGGGCACGCCCCCTTATGAATAGTTAACAGATCTCCAGCCAATCACCGGCCGGAGCGCTGTTCGGCTTTCGGAAGTCCCGGAGCGTGCGTAGAAAAGCGGGGAGAGGGTGGAGCGTGCCCGGCGCGCAGGCGCGAGAGGCGTAGTTGAGCCAGCGCGCATGCGTAACGGGCCCTCCCAGCATCCTCCAGCACAAGATGGCGTCCCGGGGGTCTGTCCTGCTTCCTGTGTGAGGGAACGCTGGGACTATCCGCCCGCCGTGTTCCAGGTAACGGGGCTCTCCTGGCTAGGGGACACAGGCGTGTCCCCGTTCTCCCGGCCGGCAAGAGCCGTCAGCGTCCTCGGCGTCTTTGGGGAGACGGAGATCCAGGACTAGCGCCAGGTCTCGGAAGCCCCAGGGGGAGGGGGAGGCCATGGACCCTACTCGCCGCGCTCCGGGCGCCACTTGTAACTCGGTTTTCCCCACAGCCGCGCCTCGTTCCGCGAGAGAGCCCAGGCCGAGCCCCGGCGGGTGCGATGGCCGCGGTGGTGGGCAAGAGGGAAGGGCCGCCGTTCATCAGCGAGGCAGCCGTGCGGGGCAACGCGGCCGTGCTGGACTACTGCCGGACCTCGGTGTCGGCGCTGTCGGGGGCCACGGCCGGCATCCTCGGCCTCACCGGCCTCTACGGCTTCATCTTCTACCTGCTCGCCTCCGTCCTGCTCTCCCTGCTCCTGATCCTCAAGGCGGGCAGGCGGTGGAACAAGTACTTCAAGTCGCGGCGGCCGCTCTTCACGGGCGGCCTCATCGGAGGCCTCTTCACCTACGTCCTCTTCTGGACCTTCCTCTACGGCATGGTGCACGTCTACTGAGCGAGGGCGGGACCCGGTCGGCGGCGCTCCGCGTAGACTCGCCGAGGTTTTCAAAGTGTTGAGTTCGCTGCTTGTTCTGTAACGTTATACATAACTTATCTCTGAGGACGACGAGCCCGTAATGTTTTCAGATTAAATGAAGTGTGAGACGCTTTGTTGGACCCTCTCTCCTCCTCTAGCGCACGGGCTGGGTGCGGAAGCCGAACAGGTGGGGGCTGGGGACTGGGCGCTAACCTGGCCAGCTTGGGGTAGCGTCTAGGAGCTATAGACGGCATGGTAGTGCTGGGTGGGCTTTGATCTCACTCGATTCTGTTTATTTTTTTAATTTGTTACAGGGAGGGAAGAGGGGGGAGAGGGAGGGAAGTGAGGGGAGGGGGAGGGAGAGAGAGAAAGATCTTCCATCCACTATTTATCACTCCCTTTTATGGACGCAGCAGCTGGAGCTGACCTGGAGCCTCTTCTGGGTCTCCGGGTGCATGCTGCTTTCCCAGGGACCTGGGTTGGAAGTCGGGCAGCCGGGACTGGAACCGGCGCCCACAGGGGATGCTGGCGCTGCAGGCCGGGGCTTTAACCCACAGCGCCGGCCTCTAGCCCCCTTGCTCCTGGCAGTCTACTGCCTCACTAAGGGGCTGCTGTGGCTGGGGCTCAGTGAGGACCAGAAATGCTGCTCGCTGGGAAGGCCCAGGGCCAGGTGTCAGGCCTTGGTCTCGTAACTTGCTCTCGTTGGCCGAGTGTGCCTGGAGGGAGAACTGTGTCACTTCAGATCCCTTTCACCTGGCGACACTGTGCTGCCTTTCCCATAAGAAAAAGCAAATCCAAGCTAAACTGGGTGTTTTAACATGGGGATACCTCTGCCTGTGTTAATCCATCACCTTTCTTTTCAGGAGGGTTATCTTAAGTGCGAGTGCCTAATCGAGAAGTAAATACTGCTCCAGAGTCGCAGTAATGAACAGGTTGCTGCAAGAATTGATAGTCTGCCTGGGGAGAGCAATACTCTCTGTGGTGAGTGGTATCAGGAGAGAGTGGTAGGGCCCTGGCCCAGCCCAGGGGGACGTGGAGGCCCAGGACCGCGGCAGCAGACACCGCTGCGTCTGCAGCCTGGAGGGGAGGGGCTGTCTCATCATTAGATGGGACAGGAATTCAAGAGCCTGGACCCAAGCGCCCGTTTCATTTACTGAGCCTAGGTGGCCCCGGCCGACCATGGAAGGGGATCTGGGACCCGGCCTGAATTCCGTCCGGGCCCCAGGCCAAAGGCTCGGCACAAAGCCAAGGAGCTGCTCCTCCGTCCACCCCTGAAGCGCCCGGTTCAGGTCTGCCCGCCTGCCCCTCTCTCCAGGCGTTGGAGGGGGAGGGAGAGCCAGTCCTGAGGCAGAGGCGGCAGGAAGCCTGGCCTTGAGCAGACCCTGCCCTGTTGGGCACTGAGTGCCTTCCGGTTCGCAGCATTTTGAGGGGATTTAACAGGCCGCCCGGGCACAGGCTAAAAGCTGGGTTCCGGAGTCACCAGCTTCTACTCGTTGATTGAAAAGTGTCAGTTTGACCCGTGCCTTCCCAGTCTTCACGCATAACATAGGCCCATTTCAAGGGTTTCCACGCTTGAGTTTGAATTTCTCTGCCAGATAATGAGGAACATGCTACAGTGCTTACTCACTGTTGGGTCTGCCTCTTTCAGTCTCTTCTTCTAAAATCAGGCCAGGTTTAAAATGGACATCTTTTATTTATTGTTTTAGAATTACATGAAAGTATCCGAGAATGCACATCTTGGACGCCCCCCACGGTCTCTGCCGCCTTCCCTGGCCTCGGGGGACAGCAGGCAGAAAGGGGAGAACAGGTGTTCCTGGGGCCCCAGGTGACTGCCCTGAGGGGAGCTGCAGCTCTAGGGAGGGGGTGGCTTAGACCGGAAGGAGCCCTCCCAGACGTTGAAGACGCCTTTCCACGTGGCGCGATGTGGGAGCACTGGCTGGCTGCTCTGACACCCAGAGATCTTGCTCCCCCTTCACAGCTGTTCCCGCGGAGGAAGGAGGAAGACCCCAGCATCAGGGCCAGGGCACTTGGCTCTCTCTCAGCTGGGTCCCCGTCATGTCATACGGAGCCCACCCAGTGTACAAGTCTCCCACCAGCCAGGGTGCGCCCAAAGGCATTTCTCAATCTCTAGGAAAATACCAGGTGGGCAGGCGTAGGCTGGGCTCAAGCGTGACACTCAGGCGATACACAGATGCGGGAGGAGCTCCTGAGGGGCGGGAGCTCTCGCCCTCCCGGGAAGCAGTGTGGGCCCAGAGTGAACAGGGCTTGAGCAATGCCGCTCCTGCCTCACGTCTGCCCCCTAGCGGCCAGTCTGTAGATCAGTGAGATTGTGCAGGGGAAAGGTGAGACGCGGGCACAGTGCAGCACTGCCCGTGGGCTGGGACAGGGCCGCAAGCATCTCAGAGCCAGGGGCCCTGGACACGCAGTAGAGGCCGCCTGGAAGGCTGGGCTGGCCTTGAGGAAACAATGAGGTTGAATAAGTCCTCCAAGGCAGTAGGTTTCCGGGGCAACCCTTGCCAAATGAACGCTGAACCTGGGGGCAGCCATTGTGGTGCAGCACATTAAGCCACGCCTGAGTGTCTCCGTTCCATATTGGAGCGATAGTTCCAGTCCCAGCTGCTCCACTTTCAGTCCACTCTGCTAATGCACCTGGGCAGGCAGCAGAACACCCCAGATGGGGTTCTGGGCTCCTGGCTTTGGCCTGGCCCAGCCCCAGCTGCTGAGGCCATCTGTGGAACAAACCGGTGGATGGAACATTCTCTCCCTCTCCCTCTTCCTGTTGCTCTGCCTTTCAAATAAATGAATCTTTCTAAAGAAATTAAAAAGCCAGCATTAGCCTGCGCCGTGGCTCACTAGGCTAATCCTCCACCTTGCGGCGCCAGCACACCGGGTTCTAGTCCCGGTCGGGGCGCCGGATTCTGTCCCGGTTGCCCCTCTTCCAGGCCAGCCCTCTGCTGTGGCCAGGGAGTGCAGTGGAGGATGGCCCAGGTGCTTGGGCCCTGCACCCCATGGGAGACCAGGAAAAGCACCTGGATCCTGGCTCCTGCCATCGGATCAGCGCGGTGCGCCGGCTGCAGCGGCGGCCATTGGAGGGTGAACCAACGGCAAAGGAAGACCTTTCTCTCTCTGTCTCTCTCTCACTGTCCACTCTGCCTATCAAAAAAAAAAAAAAAGCCAGCATTGAAAAGGAAGTCTCACACAACCTACTGCAGCGGAGTGCCTTCACCCCGCTCCTCAGCTGCTCGTCTCGGGGTCAGAGCGCCTTCACGCACAGGTAGCCCCTCACTAGAATGGCCCGTCACCTTCCAGACTTCAACCTCTACACGACCTGGAAGCCCCGTCTGGGCACTGCCGGCTGAACACAAAGCACCCTATCCCGGCTGCAGGATGGGTTGGCCACCCGAGTAAGGCTTGCGCTGACACGAGTCCACACATGACACAGGACAGACACGTCCTAAATCCTGATTGACCAAACGAATGACCACCCAGAGCCATCTCCAGGTTAAATGGCTGCTGCCACGCCTTCCTGAAACCAGGTTAGGAGAAAGCAGACCAGTCCCTCGGCAGCCGTGACCCCTGCCCTTTGAACTTCCTCCCAAACATGAACAAAGCTAGCCCATAAAACCCAAGGGTTTGCTCTCTGGGTCACCCAGATTTCTCACTGTGTACTCAGCAGGTTGGGCTCACGGACAGGATCCCAGCCACCCCAAGGTTAGGAAGGGGCTACTCTGCTCTGGGCACCACGCCTCTCTGCCAGGCCCCAGGGGAAGGATGCTCACCGCCCCTTCTGTGCACTGAGAGCACCGTTGCCAACAAGGACGGCCCCACTAGCCAAGAAGTGGCTCAGACCCAGTGCCTGGGCAGTCCCTGCTCTCTGCCTGGCCCGTCAGCCCGTCCGGGCCCGCAGCAAGACACAAGCTCCAGCTTCCTCACTCGGGATTGCACGGGGAAGCCTCAGACACCGTGGCAAAGGGAGAAGCCGGCCAGCCAGCTCTCCATGCCCTATACTGAAGCTTACCCAATGTCTGCTTCAGACAGGTGTAGCCATCAGGAACCATCTGGAAACTTTGATTTCCCGCAGCTAACCGAGGAGAGCCTCAGCCACGCAGGGGAGCCCTGCAGAGCAGGTGGGGATGCCTCATTGCCTGCGCTTTCCTACCCTTCAACGTGGAATCACCAGGGGCGGTGTGTTTGGCACAGCATTAAGACACCATTTGGGGCCGGCGCCGCGGCTCACTAGGCTAATCCTCCACCTTGTGGCGCCGGCACACCAGGTTCTAGTCCCGGTCGGGGCGCCGGATTCTGTCCCGGTTGCCCCTCTTCCAGGCCAGCTCTCTGCTGTGGCCAGGGAGTGCAGTGGAGGATGGCCCAAGTGCTAGGGCCCTGCACCCCATGGGAGACCAGGAGAAGTACCTGGCTCCTGCCTTTGGATCAGCGCAGTGCGCCGGCCGCAGTGCACCAGCCGTGGCGGCCATTGGAGGGTGAACCAATGGCAAAGGAAGACCTTTGTCTCTCGCTCTCACTGTCCACTCTGCCTGTCAAAAAAAAAAAAAAAAAGACACCACTTGGGATGCCTGCATCCCACATGGCAGTGCCTGGGTTCCAATCCCAGCTCCAGGTCCCTGCTAATGCACACCCTAAGAGACAGCAGGTGATGGCTCAAGTACGCGGGTCTCCGCTACCCACGTGGAAGACATGGGTTGAATTTGGGGTTCCTGCCTTCAGCCTGGCCTAGCCCCAGACAGGGGAGTAAACCAGCAGATGGAAGTTTGCTTTCTCACGCATGCTGTCTTTCAATTAAAATGAAAATAAAGAAAAATTTAAAAATAAATTTTGAATCATTGTAAGTAAAACCACCTGGTCGAAATATTTTAATTTCAATAAATTCAGCATAAAGCCACTTCCGGGTGGGAGCAGGGAGGGATGCTATTGGTCTCAAGGCAGCAGGTGTGTCAGTCTGGCCCAGAACCGGCCCCACCACAAGGCTGCCCTGTGCACCCCGCAGAACCAGGCTTCCCCGACACTAAGATGCACTTGTGGAAGCACCGCACTGATTTCGCACGACGAGGGTGGGGCCCAGGGTGCTGCACCTCTACTAGGCTTCAGGGCAGCAAAGGCTGAGAGTGGGCAGGGGGAGGTGGGGCCTCCACCCCCCACTCCATCAACTGGTCACACCTGTTGAGTGCGCGCCACCTTGAGCTTATCCGCACTTTGCACAGAGCCTGGGGGCAGCCCAGAGCCTCCCCTTCCCCATCTTACCCGAGAGAGAGGCACGTCCAGGCCCTCCTGCTTGCCTCCTGGGCCTCCTTCACTTTGTATCCCTGAGGGCGAAGCCAAATGCCCCTTTCTCTGAGCCACCAGCGAGCGGCGGGATGCCTGCTGGCTCTGGCGGGAGCCCCAGGGGCCATCCTCCCTGGGGGCCAGGCCAGCGGTTCATGTAAGAGTCCCTTGGATAGGGTCCAGCGCACATCACGCGTCAACAAGGGCGCACTGCAGGTGCACACCACTGAATGTCCAGCCAGGGTCCCAGGACTGAGGAAGCCTGTGCACTGGCACACAGGGCCCCGGGCGGCCCCCTTCCCTGGGCGTCTGCTCCAGGGCTGCCCCTTCCCAGCTCTCGGTCACCGTGGCCGCGAGGGGCCTCCAGAACACTTGTGGTGCAAGAGACGTGGCTGTGCCGGCCAGCCTGGTTCCCCGGAGGCACCAAGATGTCCTCTCCCCAGTTCACAGCTGTGAGGGTTCTGGCCCCAAAGTCCTCATCTTCACCGAGTCCACTCCCGGCCAACGGCCGCAGCTATGCCTGCTTTGCCTCCGGATTCTGCGGCAGCTCCACGTTCACACTCTCCGGGGAGCCAGGCCTGGAGCTGGGGGACACGCAGGGAGCAGACGACCCCATCAGGTACCCTGTGGCCGGGGTCAGCCTCCCACCGGTAACCCTGCAGGCAGGCAGAGCATTCGGAGGAGGGGCGAGCTGTGGGTCCTGCTGGGCTGCAGCCCACACCCACGCCGAGACAGCCTGAGGCCTGTGGAGGGGCCCAGCCCTGAGCGGGGGCACCTGTGCAAGCAGCCAGAGCCTCCCATGCAACAGCTGAGGCTGGGCCGAAACACACAGGCGCCATCCTCTCCCTCGCAGTAAGGAGCTCAGGTGGGCGCCCGGGAAGCGGCCGCCAGCTCGAGGAGCACTTGGAGGGCAGCTGGGCTCAGGGCCCACCCCATCCAGGTCCCTCGGGCTCCCTGCCTCCGTGTCCCGTTGCTGTAGCCCACTTTCCACCCCAGTCTGTTTCTCACCCCTCCCCTGCCCAGGCCCAGCTCCCAGCTCGAGGCTGGAAGGGAAGCTGGGGGCCAGTAGCAAGGCCGGCTCAGGCCTGTGAACTCCCTGCACATGGCTTACACAGACCCGGGCCTTGACGTAGCAGGAGCGGCCCCACGTGTCCAGCCCCACTGGGAAGGGAGTTACAACAGGCAAACAAAACCCAGAACCCAGCAGCCAGGCTGAAGCAAAGCAGCCTGAACGCGGGCTCCTGGCTCGGCGCTGGGGTCACAGCTGCAGGAAGGGCCAGGCTGAGCAGCGTGCCAGGGACGGCAGCCAAACTGCTGCGGCTGGGGCCACCCCAGATCTGCTTGCAGAAAAGGGGCGGGGCAGGGGGCCTTGACCAGGCCGAGGAACTGGACTTCAGAGACGCCAGGGCCCTGCACCCGCATCGTATGTAGTAGCCGTGTGCAGATCACCTAACTTCCATGCCTCGGGCTCCCAGGAGTCAAACAGGGAATGGCGGTGCCCACCCTAGGAACTTGCTTATTTGTGTTCCTGGGACGCACAGTTGGCCTGGGGGCTTGGGGCACTCATGGGGGCCGGGATAAGCCCCACCAGCACGCCCTCCCCTCAGAGAGGCTCTCTCGGATCCTGGACACCCCGGAGCAGGTGCCTCAGCGGGAACCCCAGCAGGACCTCACCTGGCGGGCTCGAGCAGCTGCTGGCACACACAGCCGTTCCCCTTAAAGCCGCTGTCAGAGCTGCTTCCCAGCGGTGCCTGGGGCAGTTTCTCCAGCCCCGTCTTGGGCAGCTCCTCCAACCCGGCTGTCTGGTCTTCAGTCCCCAAGGCTGACTGCTCTTGTCCCCTGCGCAGGTCGCAGCCGTTAACTGGGCCAGCCAGAGTGCACCCCCTGCAGCCCAGGCCGCCACCCTCGCGCCTCTGGCAGCTCCGCAAGGCCCCGCTCAGGACATCACTCACAGCCAAGATCCACCTGTGGCCCGGCTTGTGGAGGGGCTGCCCCAGTTCAGATCCAGCTCCCCCAGAGACATTCCCAAGGGCATGACCAGACTCCCACAGGCCTCCCATCTACCGCCTGCTGCTGCATTGAACACACACAGCCACACTCACTCACATACACACACACACATGCACACAGAGACCCACATAGCACACACATGTCACGTGCATGCACACATGGACACACGCATACACATGGACACTCACATGCACATATGGACACATACATACACACAGAGACACACGCATACATGAACACACACATGGCCCAAGAGACCTGGAGAGGCCTCAGCAGTGGGGTGGGGGAAGGGGGGGTGCAGTCCTGGTTTCCCCTTTGCTTCCCACTCCAGTATCCCTGAACCCAGCCCACCAGCACCAAGTCCGAGACTGGCTTGATCCTCGCGTGCTGAAGGTGTCCCGAGGGAGAGCTGAGGCAGGGCGTGAAGCCAGGCCTGGGCCCGGCCCGTGCTGGGCTCTCTGTGCCCTGGCTGCTGAGTGCGGCCTGGGACCACACCGCCTCCCCGGGCCCTGCAGCTGCGCCCCCACTGCCGGGCGCCCCGCTGTCCCCTGGGCACTGACCTCACTTTCTCAAACTTCTTGTCGCGGTAGAACTCGCTCTTTTTGATGATGTAGATGAGTACCATGTCGCAGATGAATGCCGCCTGCAAATGGATGAGGGTCCCTGACACACTTGCCGCTGTCTGATCCCACCACAGCTGCGAGCCAGCTTCCCCCAGGTGAGCAAGTAGGGCTGGGAAAGGGGCCCCCATGCCAAAGGCCGCAGGGCTGGCCCACGGCAGAGCCGCAGGGGGACCACAGGGTCTCCACCTGCTCCCCAGGCTGAGCACTGGCCTGCCCCGCCCCGCCCCGCCCCCCACGACCTGCCCCCATCCAGCCAACCCTTCCAGAGACCACACAGGGTGCGGGCGGGAGGGTGTGGTTGGAGGAGACCTTGGGGCGTCTCCCTCTGCTGCAGGGTGGCAATCACAACAGGAGGGCGGGGGGCGGGGGGCAGCGAGAAGGCAGGACTCCACCGGGCCTGGGGATGGACATCAGGGCAGGGCAACGAAAGGCTGGGAAGGGCCTTCCGCAGGAGAGACCACGCCCCAGGGCCTGTGCGAGAACAGCCAGCCCCGCTCCTGGAGGGGCCGATGGGGACCAGCCCAGAAAGCAGCTCAGAAGGTCTCTGAGGCTGTGGGTCTGGTGGGTGAGGCACCACAGTCACGTGTGGTCAAGGACCCAGGCCGGGTTGTGTGCAGTGCCTCTATCCTCCACCAGGGGGAGACTCCACCCACAGCACAGGGTTGGGGAACGGTCCTGATTGACTATGGGGTGGTGGGTGGGGCCAACAGGTGAACTGGGTCCTCTTACCTCGGATGCTGCACACCTTCCTCCCCCAGATGCCGAAAATGCTATTTATCAATTCCTTGCGGCATTGAGAACCCCTCAGCCGCAGGCCTCCACCACCCTTCCCTGCCTGGGTCCTGGGTTCACAGGCGTGAATGCCAGGAGTCCCATGTTCCCATTGTACCCGTGGCTGCAGCAGGTTACTGCCGGCAGCCTGGGGAGGAATTGCTGGGGGCTCCATCAACAGCCTCTCAGGAATCCTCCCAGGGGGCTGCCCGGACCACCCAGGCAGAGGAACTAGGGAGGAGGCAGCCAGAGGCCTTGGGACCGGACTTGCAGAGTGGGCACGAGCCCAGAGGGGCGTCGCAGGGGATGGGAAGGAGCCTGTCTCTGCCCACCAGCCACTCCGGCCCCGCCTGTGTGGCCCCTCCTTTAAGCACGGGTCACAGGGCCGTCTCCCCTGCCTTGTGTCCACGTAGCCCAGTGGGCCTCAGCCAGGGCTGACTTCCCCAGAAGTCATGTCTGGTGGCTCCTACGCATCCTGCACCGCGCAGGGAACGGCCTGGCCCCAAATGTCAGCAGTGCCCAGGCTGAGAATCCTAGTCCATTGCACATAGTCCTGCCCTCTTTAAGCGCAAGTAGAGAGGGAGCCAGAGGCTCAGGGGCCGACCTCTGACCCCAGAGAAAGCCTGCCCACCCCTGCCAGATCCAGAGCTCCAGGCGGGTGCTCTCTGGCTCTGAGAGAGGAACTGAGCTGTCACTGCCGCTGGGGGCAGCCGGCCAGGCACGAAATCCCAGGAGCTCACTTCCATGGGGACCTGGCAGCTGGCACTGGGACAGGCCCAGGTAGGAAGCAGGGTGGGAGGGAGCAGTACTCACGGCACTCATGAGCGCCACCCCAGAGGCCAGGTTGATGACAGTGGGGATGATGTTGAACTTCCCTGCCTGCAAGACACGGGGCAGGGTGGATGATGGGATCCCAGGGACCCCGCCAAGTCCCTTACCTGTCCCTCCCCCGACCCCGGCCCGGCCACAGAGCGCACGCCCACTGCACACACCTTGCCGTTCACCAGCACGTCGAAGCGGATGCCATAGGCTTTCATCAGGATGCGGAACTCTACCCCGGCGGCATCTCGGTAGTATTTGGCAAACCTGGGGGAGACGGGGCCAGGCAGCCTCTGTGGCAGCAAGGACGTGGCACTGCGGGGACTTCCTGGGGGGGGTGCTCCCAGGACCCCGATGCCCAGCAGCTCCGGGAGTGGGGCGGCAGACCCTCTCACTGAGCCACCATCAAAGACGCCTCCAACAGACGTCGCCAGGGCTTGCCCTGTTCCCTCTGCGCCCACTGCGGGCCACCAGAACACTGCAGGTATTGGCCTACCAGAGGAGCCAAGCGTCGTGGACTCCATGGCGACATCAGGCAGCATCCTCTCGGCCAGGCACAGCCACGGCTGCTGTCCCGGCCACCACGCAGGGATCCGTACCTTCCCTCATCTGCCTCGCCCTGCCCCTCCTGTTCTGACACCCACCCCCAAGAAAGGCGGTGACCCGGCCGAGATGTCATGAGGGACCCAGGGTGGCAGAGGCCACAGTTACCTGAAGTTGTACCCAGTGGATACAGACTTTTCAAAGCTGTGATCCAGTCGGCTAAAAGCATAGTGAGGGTTGCATTCGGAGGCTGGTTTGTCGAGATCACAGTTCCATTCGATGTGAATGCCTATCACGCCGCCCTTGATGAGAGCGGGACGCTGGTCAGGGCAGGCTGCCTCCTGGGAGGGGCACAGACTCCCAGAGCCGCACAACGGGGGACGAGCTGGGGCAGGGGTCAGCCCCATGGGACCACCCGCCACAGCACCTCCCTCTGTCCATGGATTGTGTGTGGCTAGGACGCTGGCACAGCCCAGCTGTGTGGCCCAGCTAATTCTGAACACAGGGCCCCCAGGGAGGGCTCCCCGAGCGCATGGCACCCACCTCCAGGGCTATGTCCTCGAAGCTGCTCCCGGCCCAGCGGACCACGGACCCCAGGCGGAAGATGGGGCAGTAGTGGTTCTTGGGACCAAAGTGACAGGACTTCAGCAGCGTTGTGTCCTTCGTGTCCAGCACGTTTGTCCTGTGTGCCGGCCACGCGCGGCCAGGGAAGCCAGGGTGGGACTTGCTGTGCCTGGCCTGACCCGCCCCAACCCCAGGCCTCACCCCTCCCCAGCTAACACCCTCGTCCACGCACATCCAGAGGGCTCACACACACTCACCCCAGGCACCTGCACTGCCCTTAGTCATGAGCCAGGGCCCCCGCTGCCAAGCCCCACATACTTGGAGAAGTTGAATTTGGGGAAGTGAATGAAGTTCTTTATATAAATGGTGAAGTCTTCGGCGTCCCCCAGGAGCGGCTTCCTGAAAACCATCCCAGGGCAGCCTGAGCAGGAGGCCCTGCCCCTGCCTCCCCACCTCGCCGCAGCCTCCCCAGGCAGGAGGCAGGGCTGAGGCCAGGTCCCTGGGGTCCCCTGGAGCCCCCTGGAGCCCTGGGCAAGGCCAGTTAGTCAGCTCTTATTGCGGTGGCCCCTAGGGCTCCCCAGGATGTCCTGACTTCTCCAACGAGTGGGCGTGGCTCTGTCCTCCACCTGGGACCCACCAGGTGGGACTGGGCAGCTCCTCAGGGTGGGAGGCCCCAGCACTCACTTGGGTTTGGACCTGGTCTCCACCGGACACCAGGCGAAGATCTCACAGGTGCCCCTGCTGGAGTTCCCTGCCAGCAGGCAGCGGCCAGTCTTCACTCCTACGGCGGGGGGAGGGGACAGGGACGGTGCCAGGAGCCTTCCAGCCCCGGGAGCCCCTGCGCCCCGTTCCAGGCTGGCCATGCTGTGCCCTCACCATTTCCAGCCTTCACGGGCACTCCCGCGGGGCAGTCGCTGTCCTGAGAACACCGGCCGTCGGGAATGTGCTCATTCTGCCAGGAGAGAGGGCACTGGCTGGGGGGAGCCCACCCCCCCCCCAGAGCCAGGCCCACCCCAGACGCCACACACCCTTTGAAAACCTGCTGTTCGCCCCCGACAATGCAGGTGCCATGCACAGACACGAACCCCCGTGTCTATCACAGCTGCTGGCTCACCCACGCCCTCCCCAGCGGCCCCTGCCAATCAAACCTCAGCACAGACACCCTGCTGCTGGTGAGGGGTCACAACCAGGTTGGTGACGATGAAGAAGACGTTCTCTCCCTAGGGAACCAGACAGGGGGTGAGGGACCGTCCTCCCCAGGGCCGCCTGGGTGTTGGGCACAATGGTGCCACAAAACCTGCACCCCCTCCCCGTCTGCCTGCTGACCCCACAGTTCCCGAGTGGGTCTTGGGATAGGGCGCCTTCTAGTCCCGCACACCCCGCCTGCCGCCTACCCCGTGAATCCTCTTCTGTCCTCAGCCACTGGGGTTGAAGCCCAGACGGGGGAGAAGGGGCACTGATGGGGTCGCCCCAGGCCTGGCAGGGCCAGCGGTAGACAGGCTGGGCAGGGTTTTGGGAGGCACTGGCATGGAAGCCACCACACAAGGCACCGTCTAGGAGGGCAGGGTGTGGCCTGGTACAGGGGAGCGGGGCTTGGATCGGGGGTTGAGGGGGGAGACTCTATCTGCTACCTGGTGGCCAGCCCAGGCCAAGGCAGACAACAGATGGGCCTAAGGAACCCAAGCAGGGCCAGGAGCGGGCTCAGACCTGGGGAGGAATGACGTAGTCGGCGACATCCCAGAGCCGCACCCCGAGCTCCGAGGTGTTGGTGTACGCCACGCCCTTGACTTTGGTGACCACAGAACTGTGCAGTGAGGTGTCCACTTCCTGGTAGCCCTTCTTGACCAGGAACACCCACCTGCAGGGAGGGGTCAGCGCAGGGCATCAGCCACAGGCTCCCTTTCAGGAATGTGTCCCCCGGTCCACCCAGGGTGGGAGTCCCAGTGGCTCCTGGAGAGGGCGGGGACCAGCTCAGGGCTGCACCTGTCCCACCAGCTCCTGGTTCCCACTGCTGCCCAGGACACAGTCCGGGAATGGCAGGGGCTCTGTTGAGGCCACAGCTGACAGGCCTGGGCACGCACGGGCTGTGTGACCTCGGCTGGGGGGGTGAGGCTGTTAAATGAGCTGGCGCCTCACCTGACCTTAATTCTGAGGAGGCCTCAGATAGACAGAGGGGCGGTACACAAAATCAGAGTGCTCTTTGTACCAAAAACAGAAACAAGGGAAGAAAAAAAAAGATAGGTTGGACTTCATCAACATTTAAAACTTGTGCTGAGTAAGCTTCTGGTGCGGTGGTTAAGATGCCGTGTGGGACATCAGCATCCCTATCGAGTGGCTGGATTTCAGTCCTGGCTCCACTTCCAAAGCCCACCCTGGGAGGCAGCAGATGATGGCTCAAGTAGTTGGGTCCCTGTCACCACATGGGAGACCTGGATTGAGCTCCTGGCTCCCAGCTTGGGCCTGGCCCAGTCCTGGCTGCTGTGGGCATATGGGGAGTAAAACTGCAGACAGAAGACCTTTCTCAGTCTCTCTGCCCTTCATTTTTCTTTTTTTTCTTTAAGATTTATTTTTTCATCTGAAGTCAGAGTTAGAGACAGAGGGAGAGATCTTCCATCTGTTGGTTCACTCCCCAGCCAGGGTTGGGCCAGGCCAAAGCCAGGAGCCAGGAGCTTCCTCTGGGTCTCCCACATGGGTGCAAGGGCCCAAGGACTTGGGCCATCTTCCACTGCTTTCCCAGGCCATAGCGGAGAACTGGACTGGAAGTGGAGCATCCAGGACTCAAACCAGTGCATTTATGGGACGCCAGCACTACAGGAAGCGGCTTAACCTACTATACCACAGCGCTGTCCCCCTCTCTGCCTTTCAAATAAAGTGAAAATATTTATAAAACTTGTGTGCATCAAAGACCACGATTGAGAAAGTGAAAACTCAACTCATAAAACAAAAGAAAATATCTGCAAATCACTTCTCTGGCAAGGATCCAGTATCCAGCATATATAAAGACTTCTGTTTTTGAGAGAGAGAGAAAGAGAGAGGCCCAGGTAGGCACAGAGCTCCCATCCATTTGTCCACTCCTCAAAGGTCTACAACAGCTGGGGCTGGGCCAGACTGAGGCCAGGGGCCTGGAACTCAACGCAGGTCTCCACATGGGTGCAGGGACCCAGTTACTGCAGCCACCACCACTGCTCCCCAGGGTCTGCATTAGCAGGAAGCTGGAGTCAGCAGCCAGAGCTGGGGACTGAACCCAGGCCCCTGATGTGGACCAAGGGCGTCCTAACCACGAGCCTAAGTGCCTGTTCCCGAGACTACCCAAAATATTTCATTAGATTTTCTTCTAATAAACACACATGGTTAATTTATCCGCAAATTGTTTGATGAGGAATTGGTTGTAGGCACTCATTCTTTCCCTACCAACTTAGAGTGTAACTTAAAATGTAGCAAATTAAAATATACTGAAGCTTGGGGCCAGCGTGGTGGCTCACTTGGCTAATCCTCCACCTGCGGCGCCGGCATCCCATATGGGCTCCGGATTCTGTCCTGGTTGCTCCTCTTCCAGTCCAGCTCTCTGCTGTGGCCCAGGAGGGCAGTGGAGGATGGCCCAAGTGCTTGGGCCCTGCACCCGCATGGGAGACCAGGAGGAAGCACCTGGCTCCTGGCTTTGGATCGGCGCAGTGCCGGCCGTAGTGGCCATTGTGGGGGTGAACCAACAGAAGGAAGACCTTTCTCTTGGTCTCTCTCTCTCTCTCACTGTCTATAACTCTATCTATCAAACTATATATATATATATATATATATATACTGAAGCTTGCATTTAAAAAAAAAAACAGACACCACTTCATTAGAGGATGGCTATAAAACAAAAATGGGAAAAGAAAACCACATCTTGATGAGGATGTACAGAAGTGGGAAGCCTCACTCGTCACTCATGGGGATGCAAACAGGGTGCGGCTGCTGGGGAAAAGTCCGAGCCGAGCGACACCCTGACGTGACAGTAGGGACTCCATCTTAGAGACCCCGAGGCGCCATCTTGGAAAAGAAGCCCTACCGTGAGACCGGGATCTAAAAGTTAAGAACCACACACCACATCCTGCTTGGCAGAATACAGAAATCCCCTAGTGTGGTCGCTCAAGTTTGAAACAGATTGGCTGTCCCTGGATTATTGTTAAGATTGCAGTTTGTCTGTGTCCCACGTATCATGTAGGCTGACACCCGGACTAACATCAAGATTGTGACTGATAATTGGTTTCCTAAGTGCTTCAGGCCAGCTTAACCCTGGCAACCACATATCCCCCCTCTCCTCCTTGTGGTTTTTGCCTTTCTAAACCCTACCTGCTTTGAGCTTCGGGGTTAAAAGTTCTTTCGGGCATGACCCTGCTTCTCAACCACTGGCTAAAATAAAGGACTCATTCCAGATTCTCCTTGTATGACCGTGTCTCTGTGACTTGGTTCAGGTAAAACAGGTCCCCCAAACATTAAAGACAGAGTCACCAAACGACCCAACAACTCTACTCAGGATATACCCAAGGGAACTGGAAAAAAAAAAAATACAGCCCAGGGGTGGGTGTCATGGGACACCGGGTTTTAAGCCACAGCTCAGGAGTCCCAGCTGCTCCGCTTCCAAACCAGCTCGGCTGCTAACGTGCCTGGGAAGCAGGCGGTCATGGCTCAAGGACTTGAGCTCCTGCCAGCCACAGAAAAGACCTGGATGGGATTCTGGGCTCCTGGCTTCGGCCTGGCCCAGCCCTGGCTGAGGCAGCCACTTGGGGAGTGAACCAGCAAACAGAAGATCTCTGTCTCTCCCCCCACCCGCTGTCTCTCCACTTTTCAAATAAATGAATCTTGAAATAAAAAAGAAAAGAAAACCACGCTTCCAATCCAGCTCCCTGCTAAAGTGCCTGGGAAAACGCAGCAGAAGATGGCGCAGAACTTGAACGTGAATGTTCTCAGTCATTCCAAACAGCCAACAACTGGAAACAGCTGGCGAAAGGACCCAGGACGGACTCGGCACGTCCTCCCAGGGGAAGTGTTGCGGCCATGAAGAATGGAGCACTCGCTAATCCACCTTACAACCTGAATGAGTCTGGAAAACATCACGCTAAGTGGAAGAAGCCAGACAACAGAGGCGCATGTGACATAGCTGCCTTAACTTGAAATGTCCAGAGCAGGAAAACCCAGAGATGGAAAGAAAGCGTGCGACGGGGTGGGGACCACCACAACCGCTGCTCTCTCCCAGTTGATGGGCAGGTACTGGGATTCCATGGTGGTGATGGTTCTACAACACTATAAATATACTCCAAAGCACTGAACTGTATCATTTGAAATGGCTACAATGGTGAAGTATATATCATGTGAATTTTACCTCAATCAAAAAAATAGATAAAGAAACAATTTCTGTACTCTTCAGGGTTGTGAAATACAAAGACCCGGGGGAGTGGGCGAGGAGCCCATCAGCTAACACACTCACATCTAGGCTAGGCTGCCTGGGTTTCATTCTGGGCTCCAGCTTCCTGCTAATGCGCAGCGGGCAGGCATCTGGCACAGTGGTTAAACTGCCACATCTCATACTGGAGCGCATGGCTTTGAGTTCCACCTCCACTTCTGACCCAGGTCCCTGCTAATGCACACCCTGGGAGCCAACAGGCAGTGGCTCTGGTACTTGGGTATCTGCCACCTACACGGGAGACCAGAACTGAATTGCTGACTCCTGGTTTTGGCCGGGCCCAGCCTTGGCTGTTTGCTGGCATTTGGGGAGATTTCTCTGTGTGTGTGTGTGTGTGTGTGTGTGTGTGTGCATGTGTGAGCACAAAGAAATGGAAAGGGACCACATAACCATAGAAGGTTAACAGAGGTTAACAGTCACTCTTCTTACAACTTTCCTGTAAATCAAAATTATGTCAACACACAAAGGAGTTTTCCTTTCTAAATGAGATGACTGCATAGCGCTGGGAGCCCCTGGCACGAGCTCAATGAGCACAACCCAGCGGCTTCTGGCCAAGGCTGCAGTTAAGGTTCGAGGTTGCCCTGGTGAGCCTGCCTCGGTGCCGTCGGGAGAACTGGGGCTAACAGAGCAGGAAGCAGCTGCCTGACACCCTGCACCGCCTAGGGTTCCCGGAGCGGGGTTTTCTGCACAGCAGGTGCCAACCGGGATGCACCTGCCTTCTTCTTTTTTTTTTTTTTTTTTTTTTTTGACAGGCAGAGTGGACAGTGAGAGAGAGAGACAGAGAGAAAGGTCTTCCTTTGCCGTTGGTTCACCCTCCAATGGCCGCCACGGCCGGTGCGCTGCGGCCGGCGTACCGCGCTGATCCGATGGCAGGAGCCAGGTGCTTCTCCTGGTCTCCCATGGGGTGCAGGGCCCAAGCACTTGGGCCATCCTCCACTGCACTCCCTGGCCACAGCAGAGGGCTGGCCTGGAAGAGGGGCAACCGGGAAAGAATCCGGCGCCCCAATCGGGACTAGAACCTGGTGTGCCAGCGCCGCAAGGCGGAGGATTAGCCTAGTGAGCCGCGGCGCCAGCGCACCTGCCTTCTTATCCCTAGGGGCACACCTGGGATGCCCCGGGCCCTGGGCCAGCACACATTCCGGGAACTCTGAGCGTCCTAACACACGGCCTGGCCCAGGCGGAAGCACCAGGTGAACACTCAAGGAACAACCTGGCTCGTTCACAGGGCCCGAGGCAGGAGACGGCCAGGGCTATGAAGGACGAAGCTCGAGAGTCTCTGGGCGCTTGGCATCCCAGGAGGAAACAGGAGGCACCCAACAGTGCTCGCTGAATGAGTAAAAGAAGGTGCATCCCAGCTGTCCAGGGTGCCAGCCTCCCTCCACCTCTGCCGTCCCTGCCCCCAGGACTGAGCAGGGCCTGGCTGGGCAACCCCATCGGGCTGGCACAGACTTCCTCCAGCTGGGATGGGGCGGCGGGCAGCTGAGCTGGGGGCAGAGGTGGAAGCTTCTGGCAGGACCCCCAGCCGGAGACTAGAGAGGCTGGCCAAAGGTGGCAGGGTGAGCTGACCGGAAGGGAGCCGGGGCCGTGCCAGGCTGATGAGTGGCGCAGCCGGAGCATGGCTCTGACCCTCAGGGATTATAAATAACTGCCCCGCCTCCGTGCAGCTGTCTAGCCAGAACCCAGGGAGGCTGGGGGATGGGGGGTGGGGCAGAATCAGCTGCGGCCCAGCCCCCTGCCCAGGGCTCAATCCCTGGAGCCTGCAGCCCTGGGGGAAGGGGCTGCCCACGGACAACCTCTTACATTAAGGAACCGGGAAGCCCCTGCTTCATCTCACCTCCTCCAGGGCCAACGTGGGAGTCCATGGCTCCCCAACGCAAACTCCGCAGGGCCCAGTGAGGGTCCCTCCCCCCCTCCCCAGGCGGACCCCTGCGCACAGGTGCAGGACCCGAGCCTGCCCCGCGCCCCGGGGTACTCACAGGAGCAGGTAGAGCAGGATGCCGAACTGCAGCAGCCTGTAGAGCAGGCCCACCTTCTTGTTCTTGGCCACCACATACTTTTCTGTCTTGTAGTCGAAGAAGGACAGGCAGAGCCCCTTGCCGTCCATGGAGCCGCCTCACCCGGGCCTGCGGACCGCCCAGACGCACGTGTGCCGCTTGGGCAGCCGCTGCCCGGCCTGCGCCCTGCGCCCGGCTCCCGGCTCCCGGCGCGGCCGTCCCACTCGCCGCTGCCGCAGCCCGGCTGCGCGGCTCCAACGGGCCGGGGCCGCAGAGCGCGCGGGCGCCCGGGGCCGGCCGGTTACCGGTGCGGCTGACACAGCCCCCGCTGGGACTGGCTGCGGCCAGCGCGGGGGCGGCGACCTTGCCGCCACCTCCTCCCCTCCTCTCCCGGCCCCGCCACGCCGCGGCAGCGCGGCACAGCAGCAGCGTGCGCCCCGGCCGCTCGCCTGGGAGGTCAGGCGAGCCGCAGACACGCACGCACGGGACGGTCGGTCGTAGGGCAGGAGTGGGCCGGGAAGGAACGAAAGAGGGCAGGGCAGCTTTTAAGGCGAAATCCCTGCCCCCTCTCTTACCAAAGGGTTTCTCTTCTCGTGAATGGGGAAACTGAGGCCGGGAGGCGCGAGACCTACCACAAAGGAAGTGGGGACAGAGAACACTCCCAGGTAAACGCAGCTCATCGGCCACCAGGATTTCCTGGCAGGCAGATACGTGTTTCCTGGGGGAGACTAACACTTGCTGGCCTGTGGCTGCCATAATGAACCACATGTTCCCACTGCAGCAGGTGCAGCTGGCTTAAAACCCCACACTGCTGCGGAGCTGGAGTCGGCACCCACAGCGTGAGAACCTGCTCCGCACGCAGGACAGGCCGGGTGGGAGTGTGTGGCCCCAGAGACCAGAAGCTCCAGGAGGGCAGGGCCCTGCACTTGGTTGTGGAGCGCGTGAGCAAACCCAGCCCTGGTGGCTTTATTGAAGATTTGTTTATCTGTGAAGCAGAGAGAGATCTCATTCATCTGTTGGTTCATTCCCCCAAAATGGTCGCAATGGCCAGGGCTGGTTCAGAGCAAATCCCAGAGCCTGGGACTCCATACGGGTCTCCCACGTGGGTGGCGGGGGCCTGAGGATGTGGGCCATCCACTGCTGCTTTCCACGGCGCATCAGCATGGAGCTACACTGCAAGCAGAGCAGCCAGGACTTGAACCAGCGCTCCCACAGGGGATGCCAGCGGCACAGGTGGTGGCTTAACCCACTGCACCACCACCACGCCCGCCCTGGCCCTGGTGTTTTGTAAATAGGAAGGGCATGTGCTACTGCCCCCATCCCAGTCTGTTGCCGGCTCTTCCTGGGCCCTCCCCAGAGAGACACAGTCACCATCCAGGGACATGGCACCGTGTAGATGCCCTGGGAAGCTGCTCCAGGGTGAGGGTGCAGAAGGTGGACTTCCTGGGCCTCACACAGACCCTGAATGGCAATTGGCCTGGTGGAGAGCTCCACAGGCTAGAACGCAGCCGCCTTGGTGCTCCAAGCACAGAGGATGGCATCACCAGGAGTCCCTCACTCCCCAGTGGGACTCTGGGTTTTGTGGCCAGGGCTTGTTTGTCCTGCAAAGGGATCCTCCTTCATTTTGTAGGACACTTGCCCCCCGCCCCTTTTTAAAGATTCTTTGTGTGTGTGTGTGTGTGTGTGTGTGTTAAAGATTTCTTTGTTTATTTGAAAGGCAGAGTTACAGAGAGGCAGAGGCAGAGAGAAAGGGAGAGCAAGAGTGAGAGGGAGACAGAAGTCTTCCTCCCTCTGGTTCACTCCCCCAAATGGCTGCAACCACCAGAGCTGAACTGATCTGAAGCCAGGAGCCAGGAGCCAGGAGCTTCCACCAGGTCCCCCACACCGGTGCAGGGGCCCAAGGACTTGGGTCATCTTCTACTGCTTTCCTAGGCTATAGCAGAGAGCTGGATCAGAAGTGGAGCAGCCGGGACTCGAACTGGTGCTCATATGGGATGCCGGCGCTTCAGGTATCCTGCTTTTACCTGCTATGCCAGAGTTGGCCCACAATTCATTTATTTTAAAGTCAGAGTGACAGGGAAAGAAAAGAGACAAGAGAATGAGAGTGAGAGCGAGACAGACTGATCTCCATCTGCTGGTTCCCTCCCCAAATAGCTGCAAAGGCCAGGGCTGGGCCAGGCCAAAGCCTGGAGCCAGAAACTCCATCCTGGTCTCCCACATGGGCGGCACTGACCCAAGAACTTGGGCTACCATCCATCGCCTTCCCAGGCATGTTAGCAGGGAGATGATGGGCAGTAGAACCCAACTGCCACTCAAGAGGCAGTTTAACCTGCTGTGCCACAACGCAGGCCTGCTCTCCGGTTCTTGATTGGTCAAACCTTTACTGAGGGCTGGCTCTGTGGCACAGTGGGCTAAGCCTCTGCCTGCAGTGCCTGCATCCCATATGGGCAGGCGCTGGCTGCCTCTCTTTCCATCAAGCTCTCTGCTATGGCCTGGGAAAGCAGTAGAAGATGGCCCAAGTCCTTGGGCCCCTGTACCCACGTGGGAGACACAGAAGCAGCTCCTGGGTCCTGGCTTTGGATCGGTGCAGCTCCGGCCATTGCGGCCATTTGGGGAGTGAACCAGTGGATGGAAGACCTTTCTTTCTGTCTCTCCCTCTCTCTGTAACTCTACCTCTCAAATAAAGAAATAGAGTCTTAAACAAAAATAAAAACAAAAACAAAGACACCTTTACTGATGCCTGCCCTGTGTGGCTGGAGGTACTGGCCCTGCTCCGGCTTTGGGGGAGGGCTCCCAGTCCTGTCTGATCTGCCTCCAGCGTGGGCAGCCCTTCCTGGACTCCTCTAGGCACAGCCAAGACCAGGCTGTGACTTCCTTGAGAACCACCCTGGAGCCTTAGAGACCACAGGAGAGACGGTGGTGGTGGTGGTGGGCGGGGGGAGGGGGGGGGGGGGGGCTACTTTCTAGGACCGGGCCCTTACAGTACGGCTATGACAAACATATTCCATTAATAAACATCTCAGATCCATTTAAGAAACAGCAGATGCATCATTAATGTGGCCTGAATACAGTCCACAGGGAAAAGCGTGTCCCATGTCCGGCAGCTGCACAGAGACCTGTCCTAACTGATGGCTACTTAGTACCCAACAATTGGTCTGCAGCATCAAACACTTCAAGAGCAGAGAGGTGAATGAATGATTGCCCACTGGGCGCTGGAAATAAAGATTCAAACCCAGACCCACAAACCCACAAAGCAATGATGTCTCTGACGTGGGGCAGGACCAGCGCACTCCACCCGCTGCCTGCAGTGCCCTCCCCACAACCTCCATCACTGTCACGTTCACAGGTCATGTGGTCATCACAGTGGCAATGACACGAGAAGGGGCGCGACATCCTCCCACCAAGCACCAGGTGTCTGTGGCTTCCCAAGATTCCTTGGGAAGGAACCCAATTCTGACATAGATTCTTTACAGCCCGCTGTTCCCGCCTGCCTTCCCAGCCTCCTTCCCCACGGGCACACAGCTTGCTGCTTTATCCAGCGCGTCACTTCCCCGCCCTGCGCCTGCTCCCACGGGGCACTCTCCCCTTCTTCCTCCTCCGCGTCAAGGCTCAGCTCACGGGAGTCTGTCGTCCCCACCCAGGCCTCCTGGACCCCGCTGCTCTGAGGCCCCAGGCGACAGGGTCTCTTGTTCCTTCCTCCCTTGCTGTCACAGGTGCTGTCAAGTTAGGCTGTGAGGGCAGGGAAGGGCTGCACCAGTCCCGTACCACAGGGCCACCATGAAGCCATGAAGCCGAGGGTCACTGAGGCTTCTGCCAAGAATGAATGAATAAGGGAGGGAACCACATTCCTGACCCGCCAGCCCCCACACTGAAGCCTGGGGGGCGTGACTAAGCCTTGATTCGTGTGCACGTTTGCCGATTTCAGTGGGAGATCCTACCAGAGCACTCAGTCACGTTTGTTTCCTGAAGCAGTTTACCATCGGGACTCCATCTGTGGCTGAGCACCACCGGCTAGCAAAGTGCAGTCGGACCCACAGTGGACCTCTACACCCCCGTCTCACACAGTGACATAGTGCAGTTCTCACATCTGCATCACGGGCAGTCTGCATCCAGAAGGCAGATTCCCAGGCCCAGACAGCGCTGGGGCGGCCAAGCCTCGGGGCTGGCCGGGAAATGAGGCGAGGAATTGCACAGTTCTGCTCAAGTCACTCTCTGCCCACTCGAGTCTGAAGGACAACACCCTCTCTGAGGTCATCGCCCGCTCCTTGCCCAGTCCACTGTGAAGCTTTTGTGGGAAAAAGCGTTAGACCTGTAATCCAGAACCTTCTACAGGACAGTGGCCCTGAGCAAGTTGTCTCCTTCATCAAACGGAGGAAACACCCTCTAGGGTGATTGCTAAAGATCAGATGTAAAAACCAGGGGTCGGAGTCATGGCGCAGGAGGATAAGCTGCCACCTGCAACACTGGCATCCCGCATGAGCGTCAGTTCAAGTCCTGGCTGCTCTGCTTCTGATCCCGCTCCCTGCTGATGCACCCAGGAAGGCAGCAGCAGGTGAACCAAGTATTTAGGCCCATGCACCCACTTGGGAGACGCAGATGGAGTTCCAGGCTCCTGGCTGTTGGCAGTCATTTGGGGAGTGAACCAGCGGATGGTTCACCTTTCTCTCTCTCTCTCCTCCCCTCTTCTCTAACTCTACCTTTCAAATAAATAGATAAATCTTAAGAAAAAAAATAATAATAAAGGTTAGCTGCAAAGCACAAAGCCCCGTAGGATGTCTGCTTTCCTACATGGGACCACGGCACATGTATAGGGCAGGTCTGTGACACTGGATGGGAAAAAAAGCTCCTATCTGTTTTCCCTACACTTGACTTGAAATGCGGCACTTCCTCCGCTGTCAGCATAGGCCACAACCATAGCAGCAGTAGCAGTACCTGTGATCTGGAAAACCAGCTATCCACCCTCTCGTATGATAACCGCTGCAGGTGTCTCAAGAATTTTAAACTCATCGCTATTTTAAAAGAGTTATTAGACCCACTGCTTTAATGTAGTAATACAGACCCACTTATCAATAACACTTAGAAAAATATTCTGATCATTATATTTCAACAAAGTTGCCTCTTTGTAAACTTTTTTAAAAAAGTAAGATTTACAGAGAGTGCAGGAGAGAGAGAGAGAGAGAGAGAGAGAGAGAGAGAGAGAGAGAGAGAGAAAGAGAGAGAGAGAGGTCTTCCATTGGCTGGTTCACTCCCTAGATGGCCACAGCAGCCAGGGCTGGGCCAAACCAAAGCCAGGAGCCTGGGGCTTTTTCCAGGTCTCCCATGTGTATGCTTTTCCCAGGCCATTAGCAGGGAGCTGGATTGGAAGTGGAGCAGCTGGGACTTGAACTGACACCCATAAAGGATGCTGGCATTGCAGGCAGTGGCTTTGCCTGCTGTACCACAGCACTGGGCCTTCGTAAACTTTTATGTGTTTTGTTTGTTTGTTTGTTTTTGACAGAGTGGATAGTGAGAGAAAGAGACAGAGAGAAAGGTCTTCCTTTTGCCGTTGGTTCACCCTCCAATGGCTGCCACAGCTGGCATGCTGCGGCCGGCGCACCGCGCTGATCCGAAGGCAGGAGCCAGGTACTTCTCCTGGTCTCCCATGCGGGTGCAGGGCCCAAGCACTTGGGCCATCCTCCACTGCACTCCCTGGCCACAGCAGAGAGCTGGCCTGGAAGAGGGGCAACCGGCAAAAGAATCTGGCATCCCGACCAGGACTAGGACCCGGTGTGCCGGCACCGCTAGGTGGAGGATTAGCCTAGTGAGCCGCAGCGCCAGCTAACTTTTATGTATTTAAAAAATCAAGCTGATGAATGGACAGATGGGAAAATGTGTGAATAAGTAAAATGTCAATGGTAGGCAAGGGGCAGACATGTGCTCAGTGTAAAGTTCAACTTTTCTGTAGGTCTGACCATTTTCATAAAACAATGGTTAGGAAAAAACATCTGAGACAGGGTCACAAAATTGGCAAAAGGGTCTATAACACAGAAACAGATGAGAATCCCCTGGCGTACGAGGTACTAGTGTCCTTAACCAGCTAGCAAATGCACCCAGTGTGTTCTGCACCCAGGGGCAAGAGACCCCAGGCCCCTGGGTGCTGCTGCCACTTGGGCTGGCAGCCTTTTGCTGGACCAGCACATGTAAAAGCTTGTCAGGAGCACGGTGGCCAGTGGTGTTTCCTCCCACCCCAGCACCCAGCCTTCGTCAGACCCCATAGCTCTAAAGAGAAAGACCACTCCAGAGGCCAAAGAGCCCAAGAACATCAGCCTGGAAAAGGCCCTGAACAGGAGAGGAGGCACCCACAGAGACCACCCCATCAGTCCTCCCGACCACCTGCCCGCGGGCTGCAACTGGCACCAGGGTCCTGGGAGCTGACTAAGAGAATTCACTAAAGAACTATTAATAATAATAACAAAGGTGGTGGGTATTTGGCACAGTGGGTAAGAGTTCAGGCTCTGCCCCCGATTCCAGCTTCCTGCTAACATGCACACTGACAGGCAAGCAACGGCTCAAGTGCCCATGCGGGAGACCCAGACTCAGTCCCAGCTTTGGCTTTGACCTGGTTCAGCCCCACCCAATTGGACATTTAGGGAGACAACCAGTAGGCAGAATTTCTGTACTTTTCTCTCTTTCTCTGTTCCTGTCTCTCTGCCTTTCAAATTAAAAAAAAAAAAAAAAAAAAAAAAAAAACAGTGAATCAAACTTTTTAAAAATTCAAACAAAACAAAGAGTTCAGTAAGATGGCCAATTAAGACAAATATTCAAGTCAACCAACCACTCTAAGTACAAATTAGACAGGGAAACAAAAGATATTTTCCAGAGTAGCAACAAAAAACACAGTACAGATGGGAATAAAAAGTCCTTGTACATTAAGACCTCTTTGAAGACAATGATAAACTTTGCAGTGCAATATTTTTTAAAATGTCAGCAAGCTGGGGACATTAGGGACACTTGCATTCCATATCAGAATGTCCAGTTTAAGTCCAAATACTCCACTGTTTTTGTTTAGATTTGTATGCTTTTATTTTTTATTTATTTATTTGAAAAAGTGGAGGGGGGGGAGTTCAGTGCTCCCAATATGGGATGTCCATGTAGCAAGCAGTGGTTTAACCGACTGTGCCACAAGGCCAGCCCCTGCTACACTGTTCCGATCCAGCTTCCTGCTAATGAGCACCCCGGGAGGCAACAGGTGATGGTGGAAGTGTTTGGGTCCCTGCCACCCACGTGGGATGCCAGACTGAGTTTCAGGCATGGCTGCTGTCGGCATTTGGGGAGTGAACCAGCAGATGGACCATCCCTCTCTATCTCTTGCCATGAAAATAATTTAAAAAGAAAAAAATGCAGAATTCTTGGCTTGATCTTAGACCCACTGAATCAGAATCTTAAAAAAAAAAACCTCAGCAAGTGGAGACACATCCTCTTCCTGAGCAGGAGGAGACGCTGGGGCGATGCCCCCTACGTGACCTTCGTTTAAAGTCAACCCCAAGGAGCTTCTTTTAGAAATCTGAAAGGCTAATGTGAAGAATAATCAATAATTTTTCAAAAATGAAAGTGAAAATCTGCTTTATCAAATATCAAAATTCACTGCATATCATAAAGAACGTATTCATATTAGCGGTGCTACTGTAAAGAAAACAGTTTAACTTTATTTAATACCAAATGTCTTCCGAGTTTTTCTTACTTTCACACAACGCGCAGACACTTTAGGGGCAGCGTCTGGCTGCAGAACAATCTCCTACAATCTGTCTGATCTGCTCTAGCTCGTGCCACGGGAAGAAGCAGCCCCCACGACACTGAGCCTCTCGGAGCTCCAGGGCCGGCCGACAGCCTCTTCCAGCGGACGCGAGCGCAGGTCCTAACTGTCTTCCAGGAGCAGGCTCTCGGCTCTCAGCTGGGCCCTTCTTATGCTCTCCAAGTTCAGTTGCTGGTATTTCCTTTTAAAAAAGCCACACTGCAACAGAGGGAGGGGAAGCCCGATTAGAGGTGTAAGATAGCGCGCTTTATGTTTTAGAAAACCCTATTTCTGGTTGCCCCTGAAACAGCCCCTACACTTCTCTGCTTCTCCTACTTCCTGTTCCCTGTCCCTGCCTTCCCCTGAATCTCTCCCAGTGAGCCAATTGCTCCAGACTTTACTTTTTTTTTTTTTTTTAGGTTTTACTTATTTATTTGAGAGGCAGAGAGAAGTCTTCCATCTACTAGTTTACTCTTCAAACGGCTGCAGTGGCTGGAGCTGGGCCGATCTGAAGCCAGGAGCCTGAAGCCTCCTCCGGGTCCACCACGCGGGCTGACTCCCTACCTGCCTCTGCACCCCTAGAGCACTCTAACTTTTCTTAATTAATTCTGCAAAGCATGATAGTTTTGGCTATACTGGATCTAATTTCACTTACATAAAAATATTCAAAATATGGCCCAGTCGCTGAGGACAGAGAGATTGAGTATGGCTTCCTCCATCAACCAGCTCAGTCAGTAGGAAGAGAACCACAACTCGGTGGGATGATGGCCACCTGGAAGTTTCCAGAAGGCAGCTCACAGGAAAAGCATAAAACCCAACGCCCATGACTCAGGCATCGCCAGGCAGAGTCTTCAGAGGAGTGAGCGCAAGGGGTGGGGATGGACATTCCCGGCAGGGGACTCACCGATGTGCAGCACAAAGGCGTGGCCCTCCTTAGGGAACAGTCCAGCTTGTTTTGGGAAAAAAAAAAAGAGCAAGATTTAAAAGGGTGGTTGTGGCCAGGGAGTGCAGTGGAGGATGGCCCAAGTGCTTGGGCCCTGCACCCCATGGGAGACCAGGAGAAGTACCTGGCTCCTGCCTTCGGATCAGCGCGGTGTGCTGGCCGCAGCACGCCAGCTGCGGTGGCCATTGGAGGGTGAACCAATGGCAAAGGAAGACCTTTCTCTCTGTCTCTCTCTCACTGTCCACTCTGCATGTCCAAAAAATAAATAAATAAATAAAAATAAAAGGGTGGAGAGGGGCAGATGCCAGAGAGTAGACATTTGCACATTACAACAGGGAAAGCAAGGAAAGGTTCTCGCTGGGGGATGACAGTCAGATCTGTGTAACAAAGACCTCCCTGTACTTCAATATCTCAAGTAGATTTTTTTTTATTCTTTCAAACTGTTTCACTCACTGGCCAAACAGGGGCTGTGTGTGACTGAAGGAAAAAGGAAACTTGGCCAGGAGGCCAGGGTAGCCGCTCCTGTCCTAGGAAGCAGTGCCCCAGGCAGGGCCCAGGCCTCTCCGGCCCAGTGAACCTGAGTAGAACTGACCTTGAACAGGATGGCGATAATCAGGACCAAAACCAGCAGGCCACCAACACTGCTGCCAAGGATGAGCAGCAGGGAGTAGTTCCACTCATCTTGCAGGAAGACGACGGTGATCTGGACATGACAAAGAGACCATCTAATACATCGGGGAAGCAAAGGAGGAACATGCTGAAGAAGCAAAACATGAAGGCTGGCCACATCCTGAGTATCGATCGTGACTGATAAGGACAATGCAGAAAGCTAACCATCTCCACTGCTTTTTACTCATTTTGAGTCAGGTGATCAGGATACTTGGTAGGAAAACTATTTTGGTGTCTTAGCTGGAAGAGCAAAATGTGTCAGGAGACTGTGACCTTCTACTGAAGATGTTCCCGCCATTTGAAAGAGGGTCCCAGGAGTCAGTTCTCTAGGTTTTAAAGGACACTGACTGGGGCCTGCGCTGTGGCTTAATGGCGTAACGGGTAAAGCCACCGCCTGCAGTGCCAGCATCCCATATGGGCGCCGGTTCAAGTCCTGGCAGCTCCATTTCTGATCCAGCTCTCTGCTGTGGCCTGGGAAAGCACTAGAAGACAAGATGGCTCAAGTGCTTGGGCCCCTGCACCCACGTGGGAGACGCAGAAGAAGTTCCTGGTTTAGGATGGGCCCAGCTCCGGCTGTTGCAGCCATCTGGGAAGTGAATCAGCAGATGGAAGACTTCTCTCTCTCTCTGCCTCTCCGTAACTGTGCCTTTCAAATAAATGAATAAATCTTTTTTTAAAAAGATTATTTATTTATTTGAGAGGTAGAGTTACAGACAGTGAGAGGTAGAAACAGAGAGAAAGGTCTTCCTTCCATTGGTTCACTCCCCAGGTGGCCGCCACGGCCGGCGCTGCACCGATCCAAAGCCAGGAGTCAGGTGCTTCCTCCTGGTCTCCCATGTGGGTGCAGGGCCCAAGCACTTGGGCCATCCTCCACTGCTTTCCCAGGCCACAGCAGAGAGCTGGACTGGAAGAGGAGCAGCTGGGACTAGAACCAGCACCCATACGGGATGCTAGCATTGCAGGCGGAGGATTAACCTACTGCACCTCAGCGCAGGCCCCTGAATGAATAAATCTTTAAAAACAAACAAAGCAAAACAAAAAGGACATTGTCCTAGGAGACAGAAACCAAGATGCCAGGGCTGGCATTGTGGCACAGCAGGTTAAGCCTCTGCCTGCAGCATCCCACATGAGTGCCAGGTTCAAGTGCCAGCTGCTCCACTTCCGATCCAGTTCCCTGCTAATGTGCCTGGGAAAGCAGCGGAAGATGGCCCCTGCCTCCTATGTGGGAGACCCGGATAGAGTTCCAGGCTCATGGCTTTGGCCTAGCCCAGCTCCAGCCACTGCAGCTATTTGAGCAGTCAACCAGCAGATGGAAGATTTTTCTCTCTGTAACTCCGCCTCTCAAGTAAATAAATAAATTTTTAAAAAAGAAAGAAAAGGAAACCAAGAGTCCACATCCAGCTGGGTGTCACCCTGTGTCCTTAAACTTCTTAATTCATGCTCATTGTCTCCAAAATGGTGACTCATTGCAATGACCTCCAAGTCCTCTCCAACTCTGTTCTGACAGCTCCTTTTGATCTTGCACAAACCCCTAGTCTTCGGCGACACGGTCTCCCCACAGGAAGCCTACATACAAAGGTACCGGTCTGCCCTTCCCCAGGCTAAAAGCACGTGTGACTTCAGCAACACGAAAGTAAACGCACACTGCATCCGTGCGCACCACCGCAGAGCTCTTCTACCGGAATGCCTCCCCGCGCTGTCTTCCAGGGGTCCCCTCAATTCTAGGAGTTGCATCCCTCTTCTTACGGACTGGGCTCTGTGGGGAAGCTCAGGGAACGCCAGGCCCGCCTGAGGGCAGATGCGGCCTCCTGCGTCGTGGCCAGAGCGTGCTCCGGGGACTCGGGCGAGCCCGGGGCGCCAGCACGACTTCTCTGCCTGCCCTGAGCCCTGGGTTCCCTTGAAAGGCCTTCTCCAATGACACTATAAAGGCTGATGGACATGGGGTGACCCTCCAGGACTTGAGAACAGGAAGGCACCCAAACAAAGGAGGAAAAACAGGAAGAGAGCTGCCTTTCTCTCCCACAGGTAGGAGGCTGGGAAGCTAACACACCCGGGTTTAGGAAACGAAAGCAGTCCCAGGGAGGCACTGGTGAAGAGGCCAGATCGGAGTAGACCTTTAGTCCTGTTCTAAGCGCACAGGTTCCCAGCAGGGCCTCCAAGCTGCCCTGGTGGGGCAGGGAGGAGCAGGACACAGGGCACTGCAGCTTGCAGCCAGCACCGGCGTGAACTACCCCACAGCCATCCAGGAATCGTGACTGGTCTGAGCTTGCCTCTGCCAGTGACTGACATGGGCTCCAGTTCTCACTATAAGATAAGGGGACATCTCCTGGGAACTTTTAGGAAAATTGTCCTCTGTGAAAAGGGAAGGTACCTGGGAAAAGAAATCCTTTTGTTACTGACCCCTTGCGTCCTACTGTGTCCTCTGCCATCTGAAAATACAGGCTACGCAGATGTGGCCACTTTGTGCGGGCTTCATCCCCAACACACACTAGAGTACGGGAGGAGGGGCAAGGCGGCGACCCTGGGTGTGCTTCCCTCACTAGATATGCAGCATATGCCCTTCCGGAACCTTCGCTGGGGTTCCTTACCTCAGCTGAAATGCATTTGGAGCACCGCTATTTATACTCATAGATTCACTCCAAGTCAGATGCTTGTTTGTTTGTTTTTTTTTAAGATTTTGTTTATTTATTTAGGAGGTAGAGTTATAGTCAGAGAGAGGTAAAGACAGAGAGAAAGGTCTTTCATCCGCTGGTTCACTCCCCAAGTGGCCACAACGGCCAGAGCTGTGCTAATCTGAAGCCAGCAGCCAGGAGCTTTTACTCGATCTCCAATGCAGGGACATGGGCCCAAGCACTTGGGCCATCTGCTACTCTTCCCCAGGCCATAAAGGAGAGCTGGATGGGAAGAGGGCAGCCAGAACACGAACCAGCGCCCACATGGGATGCTGGCACCACAGGCAGAAGTTTAGCCTATTGTGCCACAGCACCAGCCCCAGGTGCTTTTTTTTTAAACATTTTTTTCTTATTTATATTTGAAAGAGAAAAGAGAGAGAGAAAAAAAAAAAAAAACGCAAAGATCTTTTATCCACTGGTTCGTTGTTCAAATCCCACAACAGCCAGACTTGAGCCAGGCAGAAGCCAGGAGCCTCAGGTCTCCCATGTCAGTGGCAAGAAACCTAGGAGCCATCACCTGCTGCCTCTCAGGTGCACATTAACAGGAACCAGGAGCTGGAGGCAGAGCCAGGACCCAAACTCAGGCAGTGTAATATATGATGCTGGTGTCCTAAGCAGCATCTTAACCGCTGTGCCAACTGCCTATCCTAGGATACAGAATTTCATCAGTTTAGGGGAATCTATGCTCTAGAAATAAAAAAATCAGTAATACCTAAACTATATAAATTTAGAATATGTATACAAGATATTGTTAACAGTAGTAACTCCCTTTGGGAAGAGATACATAGGATGAGGAAGAATGAAAGGATAATTATTTTCATTTGGTGCCTTCTATGAGGCTTGGATTTTTTTTTTTTTTTTTTTTTGGTATTATTTACTTTTTAAAACCTGGGTGCTTGGGGCCGGCACCATGACATAGCAGGTGAAGCTGCTGTCTGCAGTGCCACTGATCCAGCTCTCTGCTATGGACTGGGAAAGCAGTAGAAGATGGCCCAAGTGCTTGGGAACCTGCAAGAGACCCGAAAGAAGCTCCTGACTTTGGATCAGCACAGCTCTGGCCGTTGTGAAGTGAAGAGTGAACCAGCAGATGAAAGACCTCTTTCTCTTTCTCTCTCTCTCTCTCACTCTGCCTCTACCTCTCTGCCTTTCAAATAAATAAATCTTTTAAAAAAAAAAAAAAACACACAAAACCTGGGTGCTGGGATCAGCATGTGGCACAGCGGGTTAAGCTACTGCCTACGACGATGGCATCGTATGAGTGCCAGATTTTCAAGTCCTGGTTGCTCCACTTCCGATCCAGCTTCCTGCTGATGGCCTGGGAAAGCAATGGATGACGGTACAAGTCCTTGGACCCCTGCACCCACATGGGGGACCAGGAGGAAGCTCCTGGCTCTTGGCTTCAGATCAGCCCAGCTCTGGCTGTTGCGCCCATTTGGGGACTGAACCAGCAAATGGAAGACCTCTCTCTGCCTCTCAAGTAAATAAATAAATCCTTTTAAAGATTATTTTGTTTACTTGAAAGAAAGGTAGAGTTACAGAGAGACAGAGGCAGAGAGAGAGAGAGAGAGAGAGAAGTCATCCATCTGCTGGTTCACTCCCCAAATGGCCACAACAGCTGAAGATGGGCTGATCTGAAGCCAGGAGCTTCCTCCAAGTCTCCCATGCGGGTGCAGGGGCCCAAGAACTTGGGCCATCTTCTTGGGCCATGCTTTCCCAGGCCATAGCAGAGAGCAGGATCGAAAGTGGAGCAGCCAGGACCTGAACCAGAATCCAAAATAAAACTTAAAAAACAGAAACACCGAGTGTGTGCAGTAAGATGCCTGCATCCTGTATCGGAGGGCCTGGATTTAAGCCCTTGCTCCACTCCCAATTTCAGCTTCCTGCTAAACACGCCCTGGGAGGCAGCAGGTGGTGGTTCAAGTACTTGGGACCCTGCTATCCATGCGGGAGACACAGACTGAGTTGCTGGTTCCTGGCTTTGGCCTGGCCCAGTCCCGGCACCAGCCTGTACACCTGTTTCATACTGTAAACACTGAGCTGCACACTAGGGAGGTTGTTAATGTATACAGACAACAATTTCCCACCTAGGAATTTTTTTAATCAATGTATCTTTGAATCAGAGCATATATGGCTGTTGATTCCAGCCTAGTTATTTCAACCTAGACCTCCCTCCGCTTAGGCCTCTCATTCAATTGCTTTATTTATCAGGCAAAGACAACGGAGGCAGAAGCTGCCCCGTTCCATGTTGCAAAGGCAGCTAATGGCAGAACCGAGCTCAGGGGAGCCGAGACTGAAAGCAGAAAGAAGGCCACAGCAGAGCTGTGTGGTGGGACTCAGAGGCTCCGCACACCTTTCCCAGGAGGTGCCTAGAATTCCAGGTATTACCTGGGTTCTGTGGTTCTCTGGGTTCAGCCCCACATAGAAAGATTCGTTGAAAACAATTTTCCCGAAGACCTGCAGTTCACGGACATCTCTTAGTAACTACAAGATGGCAGGAAAGAGGGCGGGAAACAAGACAGATTTTAGACACGAACTCAACCGTTTTTGCACAGTGCTCACCACCTTTCCCTTCGAACGTGTTCCTTCGCCCACATTCCCTAGCTTCGTTCATGGCCCCAGCCACCACCAAGCAAGGCATTTCCAGTTACTCCCCAGCTTCTTTCCCCTTACCTCTTATCTTATGCCCAACCCCCACCCAAAGTCAGTTCTTGTTTTTTTTAATTTTCTCTAGCACCCGTCCCCACTTCTCCATTCCCCACTGCTGCTGCTTCAGCTCAGGCCTGGTGCTCTCACGTGGTCACCAGCTCCCACTTTAGAATAAAGCCAGGGACGGGCTGACATACCACCCGCGTGCAGATCTGGGGCAAGAGCAGTGGCCAGAAGTCCAGTGGCCAGAATAATATTGGCAAGCTGTGTTATCAGGAAGGACAGAACAGCTGGTGGTGAGCCAGGGCTGGGGGTGAGAAAGGACAGTTCTGGAAGATGGAGAATTCAGCAGAGACCAGATCCTGTAGGACCTTACAAGTCGCAAAGAGCATGGATTTTAGTCCAAAAGAAGCAAACGACTTTCTTTTTAAGACTGATTTATTTCAAAGTCAGAGTTAGAGAGAGAGAAAGAGACAAGGAGAGAGGATAGAGAGAAAGAGAGAGAGAGAGAGACATCTTCCGTCTGTTGGTTCACTCCCCAGATGCCCGTGAGGGCTAGAGACGGGTCAGAACCAGTTTTTGCTCTTTTTTTTTTTTTTTTTAAAGCAGAAGAGAGGCACAATTGAGTATTTGCTTTTAGAAGATGCAGAGGGGCCCATGCTGTGGCGCAGAAGGTTAAGCCTCCACCTGCAGTGCCTGCATCCCATTAGGTTCTTGTCCCGGCTGCTCCACTTCTGATCCAGCTCCCTGCTAATGCACCTGGGAAAGCAGCAGAAGATGGCCCACGTACTTAGGCCCCTGCACCCACGTGGGAAAAACGGAAGAAACTTCTGGCTTCAGCCTGGCCCGGCCCCCACTTTTGTGGCCATTTGGGGAGTGAACCAGCGGATAGAAGACTGATCGATCAACCTCTTTCTCTCTCTGTATCTCTGCCCTCCAAATAAATAAATTAAAATTTAAAAAAAAATTTTTTTTTGACAGGCAGAGTGGACAGTGAGAGAGAGACAGAGAGAAAGGTCTTCCTTTGCCATTGGTTCACCCTCCAATGGCCGCCGCGGCCGGCGTGCTGCAGCCGGCACACCGCGCTGATCCGGTGGCAGGAGCCAGGAGCCAGGTGCTTTTCCTGGTCTCCCATGGGGTGCAGGGCCCAAGCACCTGGGCCATCCTCCACTGCACTCCCTGGCCACAGCAGAGAGCTGGCCTGGAAGAGGGGCAACCGGGACAGAATCCGGCGCCCCAACCGGGACAGAATCCGGCGCCCCAACCGGGACTAGAACCCGGTGTGCCGGTGCCGCTAGGCGGAGGATTAGCCTAGTGAGCCGCGGCGCCGGCCCTAAATTTTTTTTTATAATTTTTTTTGACAGGCAGAGTTAGAGACACAGAGAAAGGTTCACCCCCCAAATGGCCGTTACGGCCGGTGCACTGCACCAATCCGAAGCCAGGAGCCAGGTGCTTCTCCTGGTCTCCCATGGGGTGCAGGGCCCAAGCACTTGGGCCATCCTCCACTGTACTCCCTGGCCACAGCAGAGAGCTGGCCTGGAAGAGGGGCAACCAGGACAGAATCCGGCGCCCCGACCGGGACTAGAACCCGGTGTGCCGGCGCCGCAGGCGGAGGATTAGCCTAGTGAGCCGCGGCGCCGGCCAATAAATAAATATTTAAAACAAAAAACGATGCAGAGCTGTTACGAGAACTATCTGTAGAGTGCGGAGAAAACAGAGGCAAGAAGCAGGGGTTCAAGGTTGCACTGCCGTAGCCTCCACCACCCCACCTGGTGGCCGTAGAGATGCAGAGGAAAGACTGGATTCGGCATGAACTTAGGCAGGGCTTGCTGCTGGTGTGCACCGGGGATCTCAGACAGGGAGGAGCCGCAGGGAATTCCCGGTACGGAGCCGGAGAAAAATGGTTCTAGAGAGAGCAGCCTGAGCGGTGAAGGCAGGCGCTGGGCAGCAGGTGGGTCGGGGACCAGCCTGGGACACGGGACAGCAGCACCCGAGGCGTTTGCGGCTCCGGTACCTGCGCAGCCGGACCCAGGGCGAGCTCGGCAGCCACGGTCACGTTCTCTCTGGCCGACCTGACAGCGCAGCTCACGGAACACCACTTTTCCACACGCTGGAAAAGCAAAGCCCGTCAGCTAGCCCACGGCCTGTGCGGCGGAAGGGCTGGCATCCTCCACCCTGTGCACGCGGGGATCTGAACGTCCCGGAGCAGACAGGGTGCACGGTGCCGGCGCCCATCTCAGCCCCGGCTACAGTGACCCGGGGACGAGGCAAAGCAGCGTCTCGGGGCCGCCCCCCGTCCGCCCTCGCTGCAACCCTGGACAATCCCGGCCGCTCCCGTCTCCCGCTCCCTCAGTCTGTCCGGGCGGCCGCGCTCACCTGAAGCCGATCGCTCACACAATCACTCTGCGGACCCTGGGAGCACACCGTGAGGTTCTGAAACGACAGCCATTGGCGCCAATGAGTGAGCGACCACCACCGCCCCCCTATCGCACCCAACTCCCCAGTCCGGTCAGCCTGGGCGAGACGCGCATGCGCAGGGCCGGGCTCTAGGACCCAGCAGGCAGGCAGGCAGGCGCGCGCCTACGCGTCACGCGGAAGTCTCGCGGTGTTTGCGTTTGAACTACTTGGCGGGTGCCGGCCATGGCGGCGTCACTCGGTCCGGCTGGAAGCCGGCTCTTTAGAACGTATGGGGTAGCCCGTGGCCAGGGGCCGCGGCGGCGGCGGCGGCAGCCGGGCCGGGCAGTGGCGCAGTGGTTCCCGCCCGAGGATCGGAAGCGTTTCTTCAGCAGCAGCGCCAGCAGCGACACCAGCAGCGCCAGCCACTCGCAGTCCGTGGCTTCCGACAACCCTGAAGACCCCGACTACCCCGGCAGCCCGGTCGGTCGTCGGCGGAGGCGTCCTGGCCGCCGCGTCTCCCGGAATCGGCCGACCGCGACCCCGAGACGCCTGAGGCTGCGAGCTCGGGCCCCGCAGAAGTGCAGCACCCCCTGCAACCCGCTCCGACCGCCGCCCTTCCCCGGCCGCAGCCCCGGCAGCCTGAGCCACGACCTCAGCATGTGCAGCCAGCCCACGGATGGCGACGAGCTGGGCACCAGCGCCTCCCTCTTCAGCTCCCCGGCCTCCCCAAGGGGCGCCGTCGTCCCCACCGGCCCCTCTGCAGCCCACGTCCCGGCAACACCCCTGGACCGAACGGTTCTCCCCGGCTCCCGGGAGACAGCACCCGGAGGCAGGTTCACCAGGATGGTCCTCCGAGCCCGTGCCGGCCTCAGGTCAGCTCTTTTTAGCCTTACAGACTCGGGAAACCCCGAGGACTCCGAGTTCGGGGTAAATGGGGAGAAGGGGGGGGAGTCCTGCGGTAACAGAGGACGTGTGGGAAGCAGCCTGGAGGGGCCGGGCTCTTGGCAGCAACTGGGGTCCCCCAAGGCTGTTCCCAGAGACTGTAGGAAAGCCAGTGGTGGCAATGACTGTGTCGTACCTGAGAGAACGCGGCCAAGCCGGAAGAGGAGACATCGAGAGGCAGTGGAGACCTCCCTCCAGTGTAAAAAAGGCCACAGGGTGGGGAAGGAGTCAGCCCTCGCCCGGGACCGGATTCGTTTACAGGACGCCTGCTCTTGGACTAAAGTCAGGGCCTCCTTCAGTTTCCATAAGAAGAAGATCGTGGCCGATGTGGTGGAGGTGTGCAGCGCCCACACCACTGCCAGCTCCCTCTCGGGGTCCCTCCTGTCGGACTGCTCAGACCATCCCGGCGCGCACAGAACCAGCAGCGCGGTGTCCCCCTGGCGCTCGTCTTCCATCTATTTGCTAAGCCCCTTAAACTCCCTGCACGTCACGGACAAAAAGGCGTGCGATGCTGAAAAGGTTTACTGGGAATGCAATCAGGAAGGCCCTGTCCCGTTTAGCTATTGCCTCTCCAGAGAAAAACTGGAATGCTGCGAGAAGATCGGGGAAGGGGTGTTTGGGGAAGTGTTTCAAACACTTGCTGATCACAACACGCCCGTCGCCCTAAAGATCATTGCGATCGAAGGACCCGATTTAGTCAACGGAGCCCATCAGAAAACCTTTGAGGAAATCCTGCCAGAGATTATCATCTCCAAAGAGTTGAGCCTCTTGTCCGATGAGGTGTGCAACCGCACAGAGGGCTTTATTGGGCTGCACTCGGTGCACTGCGTCCAAGGGTCCTACCCTCCCTTGCTCCTCCAAGCCTGGGATCACTACCACGCAGCCAAAGGGTCCCTCAATGACCGGCCTGACTTTTTTGAGGAAGACCAGCTCTTCATTGTATTGGAGTTTGAGTTTGGAGGGACTGACTTAGAGCAGATGAAAACAAAGCTGTCCTCCCTGGCCACGGCCAAGAGCATCCTGCACCAGATCACGGCGTCCCTCGCCGTGGCAGAGGCGTCCCTGCACTTTGAGCACCGAGACCTGCACTGGGGGAACGTGCTGCTGAAGAAAACCGACCTCAGGGAGCTCCAGTACACCCTCAACGGGCAGACCAGGACCATCCCCACCTGCGGGCTGCAGGTCAACATCATCGACTACACCCTGTCCCGCCTGGAGCGCGACGGCATCGTGGTGTTCTGTGACGTGTCCAGGGACGAGGACCTGTTTTCGGGGGAGGGCGACTATCAGTTCGAGATCTACAGGCTCATGAGGAAGGAGAACAACAACTGCTGGGGCGAGTATCACCCTTACAATAACGTGCTCTGGCTCCACTACCTCACCGACAAGATCCTGAAACAGATGACCTTCAGGACCAAATGCAACACCCCCGCCATGAGGAGAATGAGGAAGAAGATCCAGCATTTCCATAAGACAGTGCTGAACTTCAGCTCCGCCACCGACCTGCTCTGCGAACACAGTCTGTTTCAGTAAGCCGAAGGGCTCCCGCCCAGAGGGCACTGGTTCTGGAGCCTCGGGTGCTGTGCCCCAGCCCCAGCCCCAGAGCAGGGGAGATTTCCATTGCCACTTGTTTTCAGACAGCTAATCAAAGAATTTTGTTTCCAAATGGAAGCTGGAAATGTTTAAACTTGCTGTTAACAAATATCCTTAAAAATAAACTACAGCTGAGAACAAGTATTTACAACGTCGACGCCCTCTTTCTAATTGCCAGCAGGCTGTTCTGTAACTTCCTGACTGTATGTTCATTTTTGAACCTTGACGCTTTATGTAACCTGAGGGGGGGGGGGACACACACACACACACACACAAATAGCTGCAGGCTTTGTGGTGCAGCAGGCTAAGCTGCCACTTGCGACACTCACATCCCAAATCAGATTCACTCCCACCTCTGCTCTGATTCAGCGTCCTGGTAATGGACTTGGGAGACTGCAGATGGTGGCCCAAGTACTTGGGTCCCTGCCACCCATATGGGAGACCTAGCTGGAGTTTGCTTGCTCCTGGTTTTGATCTGGCCCAGCCCTGTTGTGGGCATTTGGGGAGTAGACCAGCAGATCGATCTCTGTCTCTCCCTTTCTGTCTCTGCGCCACTTAAGTATATAAAAATCTTTTTAAATAAAGTCAGGAAAGGCCCAGCTTCAGCTGTCATACTGATCAGAGCCCACTGCCTTAGGTTTCAAGGCTGGCTTTGGGAACCAGACTAGAGATATGGAGTCAAAGCAGAGATGGGGAAAGGAAAGGGAGATAATAGGGATGCGGGTAGTGTAAGAAATGTCACATGTTTATCAGTTTTCAAAGGCTACTCAAAAGGTTTGCATTTTTGCTTATGCATCAAGGAGAGAAAAACAAATGTTGCTTTAAGATTTGAGTGGTCGATACTCCTGAACGTGACTTGGGTAATTCACTCCTAATGTTTTCCGAAAGTTCACTAATCTTGTCTTCACTCCTTTTCTAGAACTCAGTTTTTATACCTTTGAGGAACCAGTCACTCCAGACAGAGATGTGTTTGTAATAAAGAATCGTCAGCAAGTACCTGAGTCTTTGTCAGGGCCTTCACTTTTACAATCTGGAGACCTTGTAATTTGACTGGGACACAAATCTGCAGCTGAAATTCGGCTCCAAAGAGATTCTCCCCATGTATCTGCAGATCAAATCAGACAGTAGACAGTCAAGGCTGGCAGGACTCGGCCGCCCGCAGCTCTGCAGGGATGGGCCCTGAGCACTTACGTTGAAGAGGAATTCTTTGTGGTCAGAAAGCCCCCTGCCCATGTTCACGTACATCACTGACGGTCTGCAATTCAGAGGACATGGATTAAGCCTCAGGGGTGCCCTTCTCACTTGGAATGAACTTTAACGCTTCCATGTGGATACACTATTTGGATACACTAGGACAGATGGCACCAGGCCCTTAAGAATCAAAGCTGAATGTCAAAATGTCCAGTAGGGGTGGGTGTGTGGTGCAGCGGTCAAGTCACTGCCTGGGATACTCGCATCCCATATTGAGGTGCCTGGTTCAAGTTCCAGCTACTCTGACCCAGCTTCCTCTTTAGGCTATTTTATTTTTTTAAATTTATTTCCTTGAGAGGTAGTGTTACAGAGAGAGTGGTCTTCCATCTGCTGGTCTACCTCCCAGATGGCCACAACAGCTACAGCTGACCGATCTGAAGCCAAGAGCTTTGTCCGGGTCTCCCACGTGGGTACAGGGGCCCAGGCCATAGCCAAGAGCTGGACTGGAAGTACAGCAGCTGGGACTTGAACCAGCACCCACATGGGATGCCGGCACTGCAATCGGCAGCCCCATGCCACAGCACTGGCCCTGGGCTGGTTCATTTTCTGTTACACCTTAAAGTGATCTTACCTTTCTCTTTATTTCCCAATGTTACAGCCCCTCTCTTTCCTCCATTATATCATGTCAGTTCTCTTTTGTACCAGGACCAGTTGGCACTGCTCCTCTGATAACCACCGGGGGTTTCTAGGACCTGACCAACGGTGCCCTAGAGTTCAGTGTCAGAGCCTTGGGCTCTGAGCAGCCTCTTAGAGAAAGGCAATGCCCACTTCCTCCCTGACTGACTGCAGAGAGTGAAGTATCTGTGACTACAGCAGTCACAGAGGTGTTGGCCCTGGGCACGACTTACTTGGAAAGAGCTGCAACAAAGGCGTGCTTGAATTGAAGGCTGTGGGTCTCTATAGCCGAAGAAGATTTTTCATTGGAACTAGGAATAAGAGTGTTAGTTCACAGTGCATCTGCTTTGTATGTAAATGTTGCATCTGTACATTGGCTCCCTGGGGTTTTGGGAGAGTTGGATAAGAAAAGGCTCTTGGAGGTAAGAAATTAGAATGCAAACGAATCACAACAAGACCATACTTAGACAAACAGTGATTTCAAAGATTTCCGGCATCAACAATTGGGACCACGTGATTCTTAGCTGTGGGGTCATCCTGTGCATTTCTGATGCTTACCAGTAACACCCCCAAGTCACAGCAACCCAAAAATGTCTCTGAATCACCCGTGCTTGAGAATCCCTTCCCAACTGTGCAGTGCCTCCACCCCCAGGCATGCAGGTTAGCAGACAACAGAGTTATGCCAAAGTTAAGCCAGAACTAGAATTCCCATCTGAGCCGCATTGTACACCACAGTTTTATTTGTGAATAAAAGAATATTTTGAATATCTTTGATACCAAGAAAGCTGAGTCACTGCAGAGTAGGTACCTTTTATGGTCTCACTCTGACAGGGCCATAGCTCCCAGCACGCATGTGGGAGGGAGATTTCTTCCAGCGCCACAGCCTACATCTGCGGAGAGGCACTACTTACTTGGTGAAGGTCACGGTGATGTTTGCTGTCCTGTTTGGAAAAGCACTTTCCTCTAGCTGCCAAACTACCAAAACATTTGCCTGCTTTAAAGGGGAAAAAAATTGTCATAGCACCATATTCAAACTGCTTATTACCAACTAAGCAGACCTAGGAGACAGAATTCCTCTTCCCCACAGCGACTTTCACATCCCTTACTCGTGTAAACCTCAAGGTGTGCTGTGAACACAGCATTATTTCCCCTTTGACAGTTGAGGGAACCACTTCAGAGTTCCCCAACACAGAAGGTGGCAGGAGAGGAACTCACCTTGGAGCCAGTAACTTGGCCAGGTGTTCTATCCTCCCCCCAACTTCACCCTGCTTCCCTGAGGCGAGCCAACATTCTGGCTGGCTGTACACCAGAAAACTCTCCCCCATCCCACACTCTCTCCTTTCAGAGCACACAGCAGTTCTAGGCCCAGCTGTAGATTGACCACAGCTGAGATTCAGATGAGGCTAGGATGTAGAAGGCGGTGACCCTAGGGTGGTGCGAACAGCCAACCAGTCAAGGCAGACTCACAGATGACCTCTTGAATATGGGGTGACCGATCTTGCACTTCATGATCAGGACAGAAGCAACTGGCTTAGGGTCATCACACTGAATGTCTGGAGAGGGAGGCTGTTAACACAGAAGATACTTCTTAACAACAACAAAACCGGCAGTCACACCCTGCCAGGAGCTGGGGACACAAATCAGTCTGGGTCCCTTATCTTTCTCACACATTGAATTTACATTCAAGGCCAAGGAATAGTTCTGTGAGCCAGCTACAGAGAACAGCAGTGCAGAAGAAAATGAATTCAGCTCCGGGGAAGCCTGCCAAGTCTTTGTGGGGAAGGAGACACTTGAGCTGGACTGTGGGCCAAGAGCACCCTTGATGCATTGAGAGTGGAAGGCCAGCAGGAGCCCAGGCACTGCCACGCAGCCATTCTCAGCCACGGTTCCTCATCTGGACCACTGGCTGCAGAACCTTATTGGAGGGACTATTTTCTGACTTCTCCCAGGGACGGTATATTCTATATGTATAAGAGATGTTTTCATGTTTGCCTACAAGGGATGCTGTCCTAGCCCAAATAGCCTAAGATGACCAGGGACAAACCTCTACTTTGACAAAGTCAGGTTTACTGACTCATTGCCAAGAGGGAAACTGTGCAGTGGTCCATCTCACCAGAGAGAGGGCTATTCATGGGTTCTGGGGAAGTGTGGAGTTCCAGCAAAACGTAGGCGAAGCAGGGCTGGAAGTGCAGGGGTCAGGCCACATCAGGCCCTTTTCCTTGGAAATGGTTCCATTACTAGAGGTGTGGAAAGCTCCGTCCAGAAACACCACCTGAGGCTCAGCACCTCAGATGGGAACGGACGTTGCTTCTCTTTGTCAAAGTGACAGTGACAGAGAGATGAGTTCATAATAACAGATCGGACCTCAGACAGCCGCGCTTCTGATGGCCTGTGAGCGGGAGAACAGCCTTGCTCGGTGTCGTCCCACTTTGCCACTGCGGGTAAGGCGGGGGGAGGGTCCCAGCCCCAGGGAAAGGCCGGGTAGAATTCACTTTTCCTTTCTCAGTGCCTTAGGGCAGCAGAGCTCGCTTCTCTCCCTGGTTAAGAAAGGCTGCGAGCAGGGATTCATCCAGTTACTACTCATTCATGTGTGAACCAGGAGGAGGGGGAGGCAGCGCCAGGAAGCAGATAGGCGTCCCCGTTCCCATTCCCATTCCCATTCCCATTCCCATTCCCATTCCCATTCCCATTCCCATGTAGTTACCTTTTGCATCCTCTTGAAGTGTAAGTTTCGGGGATAACTCAGAGCCAGACTGGTCATGAAGGAATCCTCCCCAGAGTTAGTCAGGCTGATGTTCATGGTCAGCTCCTTCGTGAGACCTACCACCAGTTCCTGCCTGCACAGGGTATAGATGACAGTGTTACCAGCTCATCCAATCGATAAAACTTGGACGCGCCAGGACAGCATGCTCTTTACTGACTGCTTAGGTAAGTTACTTCAAGGACACCCTTAGCCTGCACTGACTCACCTTTAACATAAGCAAACGCCTGGCCGGCCACACCCATCCCATGGGTTGCTGAGTAAGATAAAATAACATCTACCTTTGACTTAATGCTGACCACGTGCCAAGAACTGTGCTTCACACACTCGACTAATCCCATCAATAACCTTATGAAATAATACAGGGCCCATGTGGCACAGCAGGGTAAGCCACCACTTGGATACCCATATCCCATACCAGAGTGTTGGTTCAAGTCCCAGCTGCTCACTCCTAATCCAGCTTCCTGCTAATGCGTTTCGGGTGGCAGCAGACAATGGTTCAAGTGCTTGGGTCTTTGCCACCCACATGGGAGACATGGATGGATTTCCAGGCTCTTAGTTTCAGCCTGGCCCAGATTGGCTATTGCAGGAGTAAGCATATATATAGGAGATCTATTTCTCTCTCTCTCTCTCTCTCTCTCTCTCTCTCTCTCTGCTTTGCAAGTAGATGAAAATTTTTTAAAACTTAAAAATAAATAGTACAGTTACTCCAGTTTTATAGAAGAGGAAATAAGCCAAGATAGGGTAATTTAAGATTTACTTATTTGAAAGAGTTCTATACAGAGAGGGAGAGAGAGAGAGAGAGATCTTCCATCTGCTGGTTCATTCCCCCAGCCAGGATTGAGCCAGGCCAAAGCCAGGAGCCAGGAGCTTCATCCTGGTCTCCTACATGGGTAGCAGAGGCCCAAACACTTGATCCGTCTTCTGCTGCTTTCCCAGGTGCATTAGCAGAGAGCTGGATTGGAAGTGGAGCCGCACGGACAGGAACTGTCTCCCATCTGGGACGCCAGCCTCGCAGGCTGAGGCTTTACTGGCTACGCCAGGGCGCTGGCCACAAGAGGGGCTATTTTGCCTGAGGTCTAACAACCTCCACGGGGAGTTGGGAGAAGTGAATCTAAATCTGCTCCTACCACCGAGCCACTCTGATCCCAAGCAGGGTTCTCCCCGACACCAGCGCGGTGACTGCACACGGATTTCTGAGCACGTTCTATACACCGCGTGCTCTCTCACTGGAGATCAGTGTGTGTGAGACGCACACACCATTCTGCCCCCACTGAGGCAGCTTCCTTGGCCTCAGCTTTCCGACCCACAAAACCGCCCAGGCCCTTCCAAATTAAAGGCAGGAGTCCATTCAGCCTGGAGAGACTTGTCCTTCCAAATGCTGATGAGCTGTGGGGCCCTGGGCTGCATAACCACTGTCAGCCATTGAAATACACAGGAAAACACTAACCACACCAAGAAAACCTCCTAACCAGCTGAAACGTCCAAAGGCGAAATGTGCAGCTCTGGAAGCAACATGATATGTGTTGTCACTGCTTTGTTTTATTTGACAGGCAGACAGAGCTTCCAAATGCTGTCTCATTATCTAGATGCTCACAACAGCCTGGGTCAGGTCAAGGCCAGGAGCCTGGAACTCCATCCAGGTCTCCTACGTGGGTGGCAGGGACTCAAGTATTTGAGCTATCAGCTCCCAGGGTGCACAGGAGCAGGAAGCTGGAATCAGGAGCGTGACTGGGACTCAAACCCAGGGACTCCGATATGGGACGTGAGCATCTTCCCTGCCAGGCCGAATGCCTGTGCCGTTTGGCTTTTTATCACAGCTGAGAAGAGGCTGGAGATAAGCTGCAGAGACGGTGACAGCCTGCCGTGAGGACCCATCTGACAGAGGAGACGCACACGCCTACAGGCACGGGGATGGGAAGAGGGAGGAGGAGTCAGACCGCGGGGTGAGCAGAGCAGAGACAAATGAACAAGACAGGGAGCCAGTGATGTGTTCCAAGTTTCCAGCTTGCACGGCCGAGTGGTGCCACTGCCAGCAGGAGAGAACCCAGGAGAAAGAGCCCGTCTGGTCTGGGACGTGGCGAGAGGTGTGTGTAGGATGACGAGCTGGAGGAGTAGAAGTGCCCGCTGGATCTGCCGTCCTGGCGTCCAGGGGAAGGGTGAGTGTCACCAGCCTGCTTCACCCAGTGCCTTCCCCTGAGGCCCAGGAACAGTTTCACAGGGCCTGGGATGCCGATGTCTATGTCGGCACAGGTGACTGCCTAGGGAGAGGGGTCTGCAGTATTCATTAGGTTCTTCAGGGGGTGCGTGAACACAGAAAGGTCAAAAACCACTTAGATCAATGCCCTTGAAAAAGAAGAGCTTGCTCACTGTGGACACCAGGGGGCACTGTTGGGCAAGCCGTGTATGCTGTGTCTCTGGCTGGCAGCTGGTGGGGAGGGCTTTCTGGGCTGTGATCCACTCCCTGTTAGAAGCAGCTGGAACGCCTGTTAGGCTGGATTCCAAAGCACTCGAAAGTCCTGAATTGGGTCCTTAGTGATGGGCTGCACCAGGCGTCCCCATCTGAATGCAAGTCCTCCGAATGTCTGAGAGGCCTTACCAGAACGCGGGGTGGGTGCTCTTCTCCAGATGCCAAGTCTGGCCAAGCCGCCATCCGTCTCAGGACACACATGCGGCGTGAGTAGCAATGGAGGGCATGCTAAGGCCACCGTGTGTCCAAAACCACGCGCGTGACCTCGTCGGCCCTTGCCAAGCCCAGCGTGGTCCCCAGAACGTCTGCAGTGCCCGGCATGGTCTCCATGCTGCTCTGCCACACCCAGCAGTCGGGTATAGGTATGCAGCCTTTGAGAGGCGGCAGGTGCAACAGAGAAACTAACTTTCCATTGTGTTGATTTTAAATGGAAACAGCCAGGAGCCAGCATTGTGACACAATGGGTTAAGCTGGCATTGCATATCAGAGCACGGGTTGGACTCCTAGCTGCTCCGCTTCCAACCCAGCTCCTTACTAATGCATCTGGGTAAAGCAACAGAAGACGGCGCAGGGCTTGGGCCCCTGCCACCCTTGTGGGTGACACATTTGGAGCTCTGGGCATCTGACTTTGGCCTGGACCAGCTCTGGCAGCAATTTGGGGAGTGAACTTATGGATGGAAAATCACTCTCTCTACCTCTCCCTCTCTCTCTGTAACTCTGCGTTTCAAATTAATAAGTAAGTCTTTTTAAAAAAAATTGAAATAGTCAAATGGGAGCAGTGACCAGTGTCCCTGCTTCCACCTCTGCCCCAATAGCCTATGCTCAACATGCAGCAAGAACAGCCCTGTTAAAATGCAAGGTCACCCCCTTGTCTGGTTCCCCAGCTCACAGGGAAAGCCCCTAAGAGGACCTCCAGAAACAGTGAATGAATGGGGGGAACTGGGCCAAGGGCGGATCCATGAAAGAGAGCAGCTCCAACTGAGCTTTTCCTTGGAGTGAGGAACAGTGGATTATGAACCTGGCATTGCCCACAACATCAAGAGACCAGGGTTCAAGTCCACCAAATGGCCCCCAAGACCCCATGCAAGCCTGCCTCCTAATCTGTAAGACCGGAATACACATCCCATGTAGCCCTGAGGGCCCAGAAGGGAAGGAGGAGGGGGAGGGTGCACAGCACAGCTGGGGGAGGCTTTGCCCAGCTAAGCCACTGCAGGAATGAGCAGACCCGACTCACGGAGAAACGGCGGTGGCCACGTGTAGCTCCGCGACACAGAACAGCGGGTTCTTGCAGGCCTTCTCGTAGGGCAACTGTAACCAGACAAAGCAGGACGAGATCAGGGACGCCACATTCACCAGCGACCCGGCCAGGGATTGGCCAATCCTTCCCCCCTATCCTGAGCAGCGTGGTCGGAGGGAGGTGGGGGCCCCACAGAGCTGTGACTCTGACGCCATGGCAGCCTGTGAGCCAGGCCTCCGGCCACAGCCAAAGCTGGGTGCACTTTGTGGAAGGGTGGGCGCACCCGCCACATGGACAGCATGTGCACGACACTCAGGACTCCCTCCCTGCTGCGAACAGAGAGGAAGCCACCAACAGAAAAGCTTCCATCCCCACCACAGGTGGCAACAGCAGGAAGGGGCCCACGCACGGAGCAGTGCCAGGGCCTGGCCCACGAGGGCCCCTGCCCTGTGACCAGTTTCTCATCAATGATCGAGCTCCCTTGCAATCTAGCCCATGCATCACAAACTATTCCAGAAAGCTACAGCGGCTTCCAAGGGCTCCATTGAGGTGGAAAAGCCCCAGTTATCTGAGCTGAAAAGTAAAATTCTCTAAAGCCACTAGGTCTAGTTTTTAGCAGGAAGCCACATGGCCACCTGCTTCACTGGGAGTCTCTGGGTTGGCTCCTTGGCAGCCCGGGAGCACCCCAGCGGCGTCTGCTTCCCAGAGAAGGGAACTGTGATTAGCAGAGGTCAGAGCGCGGGGCTCTAACTGGGTCAGCAGCCTTGTACAGGGGCTTCTGCTTTGTTTCTAAAATCGCCTGGTAGCCTGTTCTTTTCAGCCAGCCCCAGTGAACCGGAGGAGTTCAGCACGAAGCTCATTTAGGGCCTCCACCACATTCCTTCATCATTTCATATGTGGGTTACATTCTTTTCAATATCTTTGCAAACCCATACAGTCATAACTGACTGAGACAAGAATCATAAATAGATGTTAAGTAGGCTGCATGACCTCGGGGCCTCTCACTTTCCCGGGGAAACAGCACCAGGGATGGAAGCCATCAGCTCCAGGTGCCACCTGATCTGAGGTGGTAGGGACACGACTCTGCTTCCGTGACAGTCTTGCTAAAAGTGCACAATCTGAACCTGATCACGAAGAAGCCTCAGACAGTCCAGCTTGAAGAACCTTCTACAAAATGGCCTGTGCCCTTCAGAAACCTCCAGGTCAGTGGACAATTTGAAAATATTCTGTGGATAATTCACTGGGTTTCCAGGTATTACTAAAGCTAAAATAAAAGGCATTGGCGCTGCGGCGTAGCGGATAAAGCTGCCTCCTGAGATGCCTGCATTCCATATGGGCAACGGTTTGAATCCCAGCTGCTGCATTTCCGATCCAGTTTCCTACTAATATGCTTGGGAAAGCAGTGGAGGATGGCCCAAGTGCTTGGGCCCCTGCACCTATGTGGGAGACCCTGAAGAAGCTCCTGGCCCCCAGCTTCAGTCTGCCCCAGCTCCCGCCCTTGTGGTCATTTGGGGAGTGAACCAGCACTCTCTATCTTTCCCTCTCCCTCTCCATAACTCTATTAAATAAAATAAATAAAATAGTTAAAAATAAACAAACTACAGGAAGATGGGCCTGACTGAGCATCCCTTCTTTTCAATTCTTTTGGGAGGAAAAGGAAAAAAATAGGAAGTTTTTTTTTAAAAAAAAAGATTTATTTATTTATTTGAAAAGCAGAGTTACAGAGAGAGAGAGGGAGAGAATCTTCTATCCACTGGTATACTCCCCAGATGGCCACAATAGCAGGGGCTGGGCCAGGCTGAAGCCAGGAGTCAGGAGCTTCTTCCTGGTCTCCCACATAAGTGCAGGGGCCCAAGGACTGGGCCATCCTCCACTGCCTTTCCCAAAAAATTGGCAGGGAGCTGGGTCAAGACTGGAGCAGCTGGAACTTGAACCGGCGCCCATAAGGGATACGGGCTCTGCAGGTGGTGGCTTAACTCACTGTGCCACAGCACTGGCCCCAGAAACTTTTGTTAGTAAGTCATTTACTCCTTTTTTTTTTTTTTTTCAAACTGCAAGTCAGAGTGAGAGAGAGAAAGATAACTTCCATTTGCTGGTTCACTCCCCAGATGGCCACAACAGCTGGGGCTGGGCCAGGCTGAAGCCAGGAGCTTCTTCCAGGTCTCCACATGGATGTAGAGGCCCAAACACTTGGGCCATCTTCCACTGCTTTCCCAAGCCCATTAGCAGAGAGCTGGATCAAACTTTCCATTTTCTAAATAGACTTCGGTCTTGTCCATAAAGTCAGCGATATGTTAATTGTTTAAAAGGCTCAACTGCTTTACCAAACACAAGTTACACAGTGATGTGCACTTTTTAATATGCATTTGACATTTATTTTCCAAAGATTATTTGAACAAATTTTGATGGGGCCGGCGCTGTGGCTCAGTGGGTTAAAGCCCTGGCCTGAAGCACCGGTTCTAGTCCCAGCTGCTCCACTTCTGATCCAGCTCCCAGCTAATGGTCTGGGAAAGCAGTGGAGAATGGCCCAAGTGCCTGGGCCCCTGCACCCACATGAGAAACCAGGAAGAAGCTCCTCATTCCTGTCTTCAGATCGGCTCGGCTCCAGCTATTGGGCCATCTGGAGAGTGAACCAGCAGATGGAGGACTTTGCTCGCTCTCTGTCTCTGTCTGTCTGTCTCTCTCTCTCTGTAATTCTGCCCTTCAAATAAATAAATCTTTAAAAAATATATTAAGATTGGGATGGAGAGGGAGTAGGAGATGGGATGGTTTGCAGGTGAGAGGGTGGTTAGGGAGAGAAGAACCGCTATAATCCAAAAGTTGTACTTTCAAAATTTATATTTATTAAATAAAAGTTTTCTATAAAAATATGTATATTAAGATGACAGCCTTTGCTGTGGCACTGGATTTTCCCACTTCCCGGGCAGAGGGGCCGCGTGGACTTCACCAGCTTGTCTGTTCCCACTCACTCTGTGTGACTGACATGTGCAGAGGGTAGCAACCAAAACCGGAGCTAAAGGTTTCTATGACCTAATTCATCCAGAACATTTTTATTAAAGACAGAGACAGCGGCGAGCGTGCTATGATGACCTAGGAACACACTTTGCTACCTGGAGCTTGCTTGTGCCTGCTGGACTGCTTCTCTGGAGACCAGATTCACTCCCGCCAGCTGTAACTACTACCGCCCTCCCTGCTGGTGTGTCCACACTCTACAAGGAGGTGGGTTAAACAGCCTGGCGGCCAGGGCTCCATGGGGTGGGAAAATCCCCTCAGACCCCAGAGGGTCAGCGAGCTGACTCTTCACTCTCCGTGATCTCCCTTACTCATAAGAACCGCTTCTTGTGACACTCCCCACCGGGGCACTGGAGCAGAGGTTGGGGTGCAGGTGGGTGGGGCCAGACATTCGGCCTGTGGGCTGGGTTCAAGTGGCAGCTCACCAGAGGGCACCTTTTCTGCAACGCAGGGCAGGATGGCTCCAGCGCAGCCCCCTCAAGGGAGCCCCACCACCCCCCATCAGAGACCCTTGCCATGGAAGGGCGGCCGTCTGCAACTCACATGCTGCACCTCTGAGTGACCAGAAAGCAAACGAGTCCTGGGTGGGTGGGTGGGTGGGTTTGGATACCTCCAGGACTCGGCCACCCCATTTGTAGAGTGAGGGGCCTACATGCAGCCTGAGGCCTGTCCATCCCACTCACATATCCCGTGGGGTCAGGGGAGCCGGTGCTTTGTGTGGGACAGCCCCCCGGGCAGGTCACCTGGAAGATGGCGGTGGGCTCCGTGTACTTGTCCAGGATGGGCTGGGGGCGGTCCCACTGTCCCTCCTGGGTCTGCAGTCGGTAGCTGACCTTGACAGTGATGTTGGAAAAGCAGTCTTCCTCACAGAGCTGTGGGATCCGTGCCGGAGAACAGGTGAAAAGGAGAATGCTTTTAACCATGACAGAGTCACAGTAAGAAATAAACAACAGAGGTGGTGAGTCAGCAGTCCCAACCACCTTCCAAAAATATTAAAATGGGCATCAGCACCGTGGTGTAGCGGGTAAACCCACTTACGGTGCAAGCATCCCATATGGGTGCCAGTTCAAGTCCCAGCTGCTCCACTTCGGATCCAGCTCCCTGCTAATGGTCTGGGAAAGCCCTTGCGGTGCCCACATCCCATCTCAGATGCCAGGGTTTGAGCCCTGGCCCCATTCCTGATCCCAGCTTCCTGCCATGCGGATCCTCAGAGGCACTGGGGTTCCTGCCCCTCCGTGGGAAACCTGGACTGAGTTTCTGGCTCCTAGCTTCAGCCTGACTGAGCCCAAGCTGTTGCAGGCACTTGGGGAATGAACCAGCTGATGGGAGATTCCTCTGTCTCTCTCAATAATGAAATAAAATGAGGCTTTCTACCATAACAGTTTTAAAACACTGGAGAGTTTGTGAACGTGACCCCTGGCAGAAAAATGTAGCTTTTACACAGACACGCAAGAAACTCGTTCTTAATCCGGGCATTGGCCTGGAGGTCAGGACACCCATGGCCCAAACTGGCATAGCCGCGTTCAGTATCTGGCTCTGGTTCTTGACTCCAGCTTCCTGCTAACTTTGGGAGGTCACAATGACAGCCCAAGCAAAGGGATCCCTGCCACCCCCTAGGGAGACCTGGATTGAGTCCCTGGCTACCAACTTTAGCCAGGCCCAGCCCCATTGGGTGGAGGCATTTGGGGATCCAGCAGATGGGAACGCTCTCTGTGTCTGTCTCTGTCTCTCTTTCTCTCAAAAAAAATTACAATCAACTTGGAAGCAGATTTGTGGTCAGAAGAATAATTCATGAATTTGTTTATTGAAATAAACAATCCCCATTAGTCCAAAGTTCTGGGTCCTACTAGGCTGAGTTCTGGTTCATTCCCCAAATTCTTGTAATGGCCAGGTCTGGGTCAAGCTGGAGCCAGGAGTCAGGAACTCCATCCGGGTCTCCCACGTGGGTGGGAGGGGCCCAAGCACTTGGGCCGTCTTCTGCTGCCTTCCCAGGCCACGGCAGGGAGCTGGATCTGAAGTAGAGCAGCTAGGGCTCCATCCAGCATGCTGATATGGGATGCTGGCATTGCAAACAGTGGCTTAACCCACGATGCCACAACACTCCCCTTTCTTTTTCTTTTTTTCTATTTCTACCTTTGAGTTGTTTAGTTTTTCTGATGGTGACTTGCCTCCAGCTCCCGTTAGTACCAGGTGAGGCTGGGGAACATCGGGGAGGGGCGCTCGTTCTGCCTGGTTGTTACTAAGAAATGCCGGCTATCAGGGCATCTCCCTTTCCGTCCACTTCTAGGAGACTCAGAGCCCGCCCTCCACGACAGCAGCATTTCTGCTATAATCGCCTCCAGCTTCCGCGCCATTATGTGATTCTTGGTCCATTATGACTATTTTTAAACATGTATTTGAGAGGCTCCCACGTGCTGGTTCACTCTCCAACCGCCCACAATGGCCAGAGCTGGGTTGAGCTAAAGCCAGGAGCCAGAAATCGTGGTGGGCAGGCACCCAGTTACCTGAGCCACCCCTGTGGCCTCCCCAGGCCTGCATCAGCAGGAAGCTGGAGCTGGGAACCGAAGCTCGGTACTCCGATGTGGGACACGGGCATCTTAGCCGCTATGCCAACCGCCTGCTCCCTGCCATGACCGTCTTCCTCACCTCGTTTGCGTGAGGAACACGCACCGCTCACTTGCAGTCTTTTCTCAAGGACAGGCGGCTCCAGACTCCCGCCTGAACTCCTCCACGCACCTGTGCCTCCGTGGAGGTGAGCTGAAAGTTCTCACGCACAGAAGAGCCATTGGCCCACTCCTTCAGCTGGCCGAGACAGGTTCTCGTGTTTAGGCACTGCAGCCTTCTCCTGGGTTTCAGCACGTCCACGTCCAGCGTGAAGTTGAGGGCTGTCCCTCCGAGGTCTGGGAATGCACATCAGGCTGGGAGGGGCCTCGACCTGCCCCCACCAGTGGCCCACCCTCCCTGCCCCGGGAAACAGCAGCCCCGCAAGGGTCAGGAAGGGGGATGTGGAGAGGCCAGGCCTCCTTCGTTTCGCCAATCCCACCCTGACCTGGGAGACACAGACAGAGGAACGCCCTTCCCAGCTGCCCTGCACCAGCACAGCGGCGGGCACAGCAATGGGACTTGGAACCTTCTTCTGAGTCTTCTACCTGAAACTCAGCCCTGAGGCGAGGACCCCATACCGTGCTTCACAATAGGGTCAGAGTGTGGCCTGCAAGGCTGGGACCTCATGGAAGCACCCTCTGCAGCCGCCTTCCCTGCCCCTGCCACAGCCAGAGAGCAATGTCCCCTAAGGCCCAGGCTCAGCCCAGCTGCCTCTTACCTGACTTGGAGCTGCTATTAAAACACAAAGTCGCCATCGTGCTGCCGTTGAAACCAATTGGCAGTTGGCTGGGTTTGAAGTTCATGGACACATTCAGACGAACCACGGGCCGGGAGCTACGCAACACAACAAGGAGGACCATGAGAAGTGGCGGGGGGACTTGTCGGGGTGTGCTCGGCTGGTGCATGCGTGCATCCAGGGGATTTCCACTGAACATCTCCAATACGCAGGTGCTGCGCTGAGTCCTCAGGACCCAGGAAGGAAAGAGGCAAAGCCCTGCTCTGGTATGAAAGCAGTGGGCAAATACACAAAAGAGGGAAACTGTGTACTGTAACAGCAGGATAAACATAACGCAAGATAAAGTAATAGAGGCCAGGTGGTAGGGATGGCCTCACTGATGGGGAGCATTTAAGTAGAGATCTGTTAACAAGAAAGAGCTGCCGGTGGCACAGCGGCTTAATGCTCTGGCCTGAAGTGCTGGCATCCCATATGGGCGCCGGTTCAAGACCCGGCTGCTCCACTTCTGATTCAGCACTCTGCTATGGCCTGGAAAAGCAGTAGAGGATGGCCCAAGTCCCTGGGCTCCTGCACCTGCGTTGGAGACCTGTATTAAGCTCCTGACACATGGCTTCGGATCGGTGCAGCTCCGGCCATTGCAGCCAATTGGGGAGTGAACCAGTGGATGGAAGACCTCTCTCTCTCTCTCTGCCGCTCCTCCCTCTGTGTAACTCTGACTTTCAAATAAATAAATACATCTTAGAAAAGAAAGAGCTGCCCAAGAGCCAGTGTTATGCCGTAGTAGAGGAAGTTGCTGCCTGTAATGCCAGCATCCCAGTGAGCATTGGTTCAAGTCCCGGCTGCTCCACTTCTGATCCAGCTCCCTGCTAATGTACCTGGGAAAGCAGTGGAAGCTGGTTCAGGTGCTTGGGCCCCTAAACCCATGTGGAAGAAGCTCCTGGTTTCAGCCTGGCCCAGCCCCAGCCATTGTGACCATTTAGGGAGTAAACCAGCAGATGGAAGACCTCTCTGTGTCTCCCTCTCTCTCTGTAACTCTGCCTTTCAAATAAAATAAATCTTTTTTTTTTTTTAAGAGATGCCTATGTAGAGCTGAAGGAAGAGGAATTATAAGCAGCAAGCGTGGCTAGTGCAAAGGGCCTGTGGCAGGAATGAGCTTGCTTTGTCTGAGGAAGGCAAAGGTCAGCAAGACTGGTGAAACAGAGAAGTGACAGGAGATGGGAGTGGAGCGGTGGGTAGGGCCAGGTCACAGGCAGCCCTAGAGGCCACGCTAAGGAGTCTGGGTTTACTCTAAGTGGGAGCCATGGAGGGGTCTGCAGCAGCAAAGTGCAGGACCACTCTGGCAGCTAGATGGAGAACGGAACATGGAAGAGGGAAGAGGAGGAGCTGCGGTGCCCACAGAGCCAGCGTGGGCTTGCTGATGGGGTGGAGAGGGAGGGAGAAGATTCTGGAGGATGTGTAGGTTTTTGTCCTGAATGTGTGGGCAGATGACGACAGCATTGCTGAGACAGGAAGCCTGAGGGAGCGGCAGATCTGGGGGAATGAAGGCTGGGTGAGATGCAGAGCCCAGTCTTAGGCGCACACACGTTGCGCAGTGGCTGAGCAGGGGCAAGCGGACAACCAAGCCCGAGCACATGCGGGGGATGAGCAGACAGGAGCTCCGTCCAGTTATTTCTAGCGACAGGGCCAGGGCTCAAGCGTCCCTGGGGATGGAGCCTGGCAGCTCCAAGGTTCCCCATGGTAACAGCAGCCACCAGGAAGCACTGCGTCAGACACTTTGTGCATATAAGGGGGCTTCAAAAAGCTCATAGAAAATGCGTACTGTCAAAAACTTAGATTTGAAACTTGGATTTCAAACAATTTTGGATCAAACAAAATAACCTTGTATCTTAATTCCATTTTCCAAAAACTTTTTAAATGATTTTTGAAAGTGTATTTTACTTATTGATTTTATTTAAAAGGCAGAGCAACAGAGAAAGACAGAGAAAGGGATCTTCTATCCGTTGGTTCACTCCCCAAATGCCCGCAACAGCCAGGGCTGGGTCAGGCCAAGGCTGAATGCCTGGAACTCCATCCGGGTCTCCTATGTGAGTGGCAGGGACCTAAGTACCCCTCACCTACTGCCTCCCAGGGTGCAGATTAGCAGAGAGCAGGGACTGAAATGCAGGCACTCGGATGTGGGATACAGGAGCCCCAAGCAGCATCTTCCCCTCCTCAGAATCCCCGCCCATAGTCCTCACTACTCCATGCTGTTCCTGACTATAGATAGAAAGGGAAGTTGGGACTTGGAATCAAATAGCCTGCCCCAGAGCACACCTACAAGTGAGAGCTGAGGTTCAAGGCCAGACTTCAGAATACCAGCCCTTACCCCCTGCACTTCCTCCCTCCCTCCCACCGCACTGGGGCTTTGCATGAGGCCACTTAGGGCAGGCAAGTGGGTGAGGCTGGGGCCCAGGACCCCAGAAGGCAGACTCCTACCGGAGCACAACTGCTCGGCCCAGCGTGCCCACAGTGATGTCAGCAAGGCCATCGCCACTGAAATCTGAGCCACCGGCCACAGATATGCCGAAGTAATGGAGTCCTGTGGCCACGGCTGAGGCCTTGATCCGCTGTGGAGACAGAAACACAACGCATGGCAGCGGGGCGGGGTGGGGGCAGCAGCAGCCACCATCCCGCCACCATCCCGCCCCCGGGCTCCTCCATCTAGAAACAGGAAAGAGGGCAAGGCTTCCCAGAGGAAGTGGCACTGGGATGGAGACCCGAGAGGCAGGTGCGACTTGCTAGGGGACAATGAAGGGAAGGGTGAAGTGTGGGGAAAATCAAGGGCTTTGGAGAGGCAGGCACAGGGTGGGAGAGGGGGAGGCCATGAGAGCTGGGCATGGTGGGTGGGCATCCGGGGAGAGGGGTGAGCTGGGCTGGTGGCTGGGGAATGGAACAGAAGGGCTGGATTTGAGAGCGAGCAAGACTCATTAGGACGTGGGCACCGACACAGTGCCCAGTGTCCAGCCAATCCCAAGCTTCTGCTGTGGAGAATGGAGGTAGGTGGGGGACAGAAAGGCAGCCACTCTAGGGGGAAAGGATGGCCCTGCTGGGCCAAGGAGCATGAGACCCCTGGGGGCCTTCCAGGGGGAGGTGGCTCCAGAGTAGCTGGGAGTGGAGGGCTGTGTCCATCAGAGATGTGGTGTGAGAGGCTGGCAGCCGGGCCTGGGGGACAAGAAGTAAGCAGGGAGGGTCTTGGGGAGGCAGGAGCCAGAGAAAGAGCAGAGAGGAAGGAGAGAGCTGAGGCGGTCCAAGGAGGGAGGGAGGTATCAGTCAGGGGAGGAGACAGACATTGTCCCCCCACTGAAGGGTCTGCCGGGAGGCCCTGGCCCGGAACCTCCCCTTCACTGGGCACCCCCAGCCCCTGAGGCCTGCCCGGCACTGGGGACCACTGCCGACCTCAGGTTCCAGAGGGGAGGCAGCAGAGGGCCCAGGGTCACCTGTGAGGGGCTGGTGAAGAGACCGTCCCGGCGTCCGTTGTAGATGTACACGCTGCCGAAGCTGGCGCCATCGTCTGCCCCGACACCCTCCAGGGGGGCCCCGATGGCCACATCCGTGAACCCGTCCTGACTGATGTCCCCCACAGCCGCCATGGCGAAGCCGAAGCGGGCATCAGTGAGCCCCGGGGGCCCGCTCAGTGTGTGTTCCAAGGAGAAGGAACCAGCCTGTAAAACACACAGGCAGCTCGGGGCTGAAGGGCGAGCACACCCCAGGGCCACCCAGGAGGTACCCCTGCGCCCCCGCACCGGGCTGGTTGATCCTGCTTTCTCAGCAGGTGTCTGAGGCTCAGAGGAGGGGTGGGGCCAGTGGTCAAGCTGGAGTCCGCCTGCCTTCAAGGTCAGGGCCCAGAGCCTGCCTCCTCTACTCCCATGGGCAGGGGCACCCAAGTGCCTGTCCTGGCTCTCCCACACACTTGCTGTCTCAGCACCACAGGTGAGATAGCAAAGTGCACCCCACAGCGAGAAGGGGTGTGATGGTCCCTCACTGCCCATCAGGATGAGCTATGGCAGGGGGAGTACAGCCACCCCCGCCCCCCGCACCTCCCAGTACTGCCCGCTGGCTGGGCTGAAGACAGAGACCAACCCACCTGCTCATGCAGCCGGTACACGTAAACTCTGCCTTCCTCTTTATGGATATGGTAAAACGGAGCAGCCACCAGCAACAAGTCGGTGGTCCCATCCATGTCGATGTCCACGGGGCACAGCTCAGAGCCAAAATAGGACCCCATCTACAGCCCAGGAGGACCAGTGCTCAGGGAGCGCTGTCCTTCCCCCCACCGTTACGTACCCCCACCAGGTGCCTCCAGATCCCGCTCCCCAACAATGGAGGGGGCTTCCCCGGCAGGTACCTGCTCTCCTTCTAGCACCTGCGCGAAAGCGGTCCGTGCATCCTGCTTCTGGAGCTCAAACACTGCCCCTCGCTGCTTGTACCGTGGAGCCCCTGCCACGTAGGTGAGGCCACAGGCCTTGTGCAGCACGGCCACTGAGTAACCTGGGGAGGCGGAGGTGGCGCCTAAGAACAGGTGCTCAGCCGCCTGGGCCCTGGGAACTTCACCTTCCCAGCACCAATCATGGTCACACGATGCACATACTGCCGTGTATGGCTCAGCATGGAGCCCCGCAGCCACCCCCACACCATCCCTACGTAGAGGCCAGGGGATGCCCACCGCAGTAAAGGAGAGATCACTGCCTCCCACTCCACCCCACGCAGGAGTCTCAGTGTGACCCATGTGACCAACCAGGGCCCGCCCCCTTGAGGAAGTGGAATGCAGCCTAAGGCACAGTCTCAGAGGTGGGGTCTCATCCGGCTCACCCAGGTAGCCGTACTGCGCAGCCTCAGCATCAGCCGCAGTGTGGTTGAGGAAGCGGCCCTGGCGGCTGTGCATGTGGTAGAGCAGGGCGCCTCCGGACCAGTCAAAGGCCCCGACAGCGCCAAGCAGCACCTGCTCCTGCAGGGGCGGGGAAGGGGGCCAGTGAGCCGGAGGGAGCCAGGTGCCAATGCAGCAAACCTCGCTGAGGGCAGGGGTGCACTCTGAGGTCTGGACCCGCAGGGCCTGAGAAGCCGGCAGGATAGGGAGACTGCCCCAGGCTCCTGCCTTGGATGGGTGACACTGTCAGCGTAGATGCCTCAAGAAGCTAACCGGGGGTCCCCTGCACCTCCTGGAACCACCGGGAGCTCTGCCTGCAAACTGACACAGGCCCAACCCTGTCTCGCTTGGCTGTGTTAAGAGCAACTACTGGGGTCCTGAGTCCCTGGGTACCAGCCCGATGCCCACAGGTGAGCCTGCCTGGGGCCCTGTGGGCCACGTACCTCGTCCAGGATCTGGGCACTGAAGCCAATCTGTGCCAGCTGGAAGTGGAGGGCCTCTCCGACTGCGCCTGGGAGCCAAGAAGCCCGTGAAGTGTGACCAGGTGGGGAAATGCACCCGGCAGCGGGCTCACGGCAGACATGGGCGCTGCTTCGGCAGCTAATGCCCAGTAGGTGTGGGCGGAGCTCCGGAGAGAAGGAGCTCTGTCCCCGTGTTTCTCCAGCCCCGGATCAGGTCCTCAGAGCCTTGTGGGGATTCCAGCAAGCTGGGGAGGGGAGGGCTGGGGGACTGCGGCCGTTTTAGACATGGAACAGCAGAGGCCCAGAGAGGGGACAGGAACTGCTTGTGCCTCGTGGAAGTCAGACAGAGGCGAGGCTGGGGGCGCAGGGCCGGGCCGGACCCCCGAGCCCTCACCTTCCGTGCGGATGATGCTTTGCTGCAGCCTGCTCAGCAGCCCGTCCAGCGCCGAGTAGTTGGTCACCTTGAAGGCGTGGGTCTCATCAGGGTCCGAGGCGATCAGCTTCAGCTCCTGTTCAGTCTGATGTTTCTTAAATGCATCTCCCACCTGCACCGAGGCACTGGGTCACTGGGGCAGCCCAGGGAGGGCTGGCTGATTCCTCAAGCCCCAGTGGCTCACCAGGCCACGAGAGCGAGCCGGGCGCCCCTACATGCCCTCCAGGGCCCCCTTCACCTGCCTCCTTCTGTCCCCACACTCTTGGAGCCAAACTCCAGTTTTCCCAAGCTCCATGTGCTTTCCTGGGCCCACCAGGCTCCTTTTCCTGTCTGCACATGCTGGTCCCTCTGCTGTGCCCCGCGTCAGCCAGTACTGTCTGTGCTCCAGCACCACCTCCTCCAGGAAGCTCCCTGATGTTCCCCCTGCGTGCTTCCCCCATCACTACTCAGCCAGCGAGCTGTGACTGCCACTAGGAAAGGGACAGGAAGTGGGGACACCGGATGCGGGGAGCAGGACACTGTTTTCAGGAGGCCCTCTGTTCCCCACCCCAGACTGTGCAGGGTCTGGCGGTGGCCCCCAGCACCAGGCTCTCACCCCGATGGCAAAACGTTCAATGCCCTGCATCTTGGGTGAGTTGATGACAACCGTGAGGTTGAGGGGGTCCTCGAATGTGTCCCCGTCGGTGAGCACCACGATGACCTTCGAGGCCTTTTTTCTGGAGCCGTGCCTCTGCGTGAAGATGTCGTCTCTGTCGGAGAGTTACCGTGAATGAGGAGCAGTTTGCCCAGGGGTGCGTGGGCTCAGGGGTAGAGCTGACTCCCTGGCCTGTGTTAGAACTGGAGAGGATTACCCAGCCCTCCCAGAGGGGGAACAGCGAGGCATCTGCAGCACAGGTGTCTCCCTCCTCGCTGCTCCCAACACAAAGGTGCCGGACAGCGCTTGAGTGTGGCCCTTTCATGCGTGCGCAGGAACAGTGACGGCATGAGAGCCACAGGCCAGGCCAGGCCAGGCGGCGCAAGCCTGGTCTGTGCTGAGGTTTCAGCTCTTCCACGGTGAGAAGAATCCTCAGAGAGTCCCACAGGGCAAGCACCGTTAGCATCCTCATTTTAACGGAAACTGAAGCACAGAGCGGGGTGGCTCCCTTGCCCAGGGACAAGCTGGAAGTGGGATCTGAACCCCCACGGCCTGTCCCTGTGTGCTCGGCTCTACAGCCTCGTGCAGGAAGACGTCTCTGGAAGAGCTTTTGGAGGGCAGCCCCCACAGGGCAGTTGAAGCCTCAGCCCCTCCTCTCTCAGAGCCATCCCGCCACCCACAGTGCCCCTGTGCAGGCCCCAGGCAGCCCCCACCCCCACCCCGGTGCAAGGTCAGGTCATTCCTGCAACGCTCACACTCACAGCACGTGCTGAATGGCCGAGGCAGTCCTGGTGACGTTCCTCACTTGAGTGATGTTCTGGACCTTGGCGAGGGAGGCTGTCATATTCTGGCTGTCCTGAAGGTTGAACTCTGTCTGGATGACCCGCCCATATTGCACCAGGGCGAAGCTGCACTGGAGGGGGAAGGAGGGGTAACGGGGTGTTGGCAGAGTGGCCATCCCCAAGGCCACCTCTGGCACTGAGAGGCTCCCCCTGAAAGCGGTGGATACATGCACCCATTCTACTTTGTCTCTGGGCAGAAGGGAAATTTCCAATTAGGCAAGTAATGATGGAAGAGAGAATCACAGATTTCCCCCTGAATCTATGTCCCACTCCACAGTGACTGTGAGACTGGGATATCAGCAAATGTGATGCCGTCTTGAAATCAGCCATGTGCACTGGCTCTTGCCTAGGGTTGCTGCCCTGAAAAGGTTGGGCTACAGGAGACAGACAAGTGAGTGGGGCCCTCTTAGACCACCCAGCCACAGACGAATGACCAGATGCCTGCAGCTAAAGGTAACATCAAGACCGACAGAAGAACCACCCAGCTGAGCCCAGCCCAAATACCTCCTGACCCACAGAGCTATGAGCAAATGAAGCACTGCTTATTTTAAGGCAGGCTGTCACAAAACAGTAGATAAGTAACAGGTGATATGAGACTGGCTCTTAGGGAGGCCCACCTCAAAACACTTCTCACTGAAGTTCGTCATCATGTTGGCGATGAAGTCTTTGGCTCTCTGGAAGTCTGGGGGGTCAATGCTTCCTGAACCATCTAGGACGATAGCAATCTCGGTGCCTGGCCAAGACAGCAAGCAGGTCAGGAGTGGGTGTGGGGTTTGGGACAGGAGTGAGGGCAGCATGTCCTGCCTTGTAGGGCACACACACCCCCACCTCCTCTATGTCCTGAGGGCTCAGTTCAGGGAAGAAGCCAGGCACGCTCCCAGGAGCAAAGCTTTTGTCTCAGAGGCAGAGGGAGCTGGAATGGGCTCTGCTCTTTCTGTGTGAGTCACGACTCCCATCACTCCTGCTCTCTGGCCTGAGTTTCCCCATGTGTAGGATAGGACTGGCCAGACATGTGCACACAACCACTGCTTTCCATCTCCTGGAGCAAGGCACTCCTCACCCCTGGAGGCCACCTCTTCTCACCTGCCTCTTCTTCCTCTTCCTCCTCCTCCTCTGCCTTCTCCAGAGCCCGGCGCCACCTGGCTGTGCTCTCTTCCTCCCCCATGCCGCCTTCTTTGTTTTGATAGCAGTCTCCAGCATCCACACGTACATGTGGATCCAGGTGATTCTCTTCAAAGAACATGCATGGAAGAGCCCAGAACTGGATCCCAATTCCTTTCACACAAGGCCTCCACCCTGCCTTGCCTTTCTCTGGGCCTCAGGGTCCCTCTGCATTCTCCAGGGGCTGCTGCCCCTCTTTGGAGACCGAAGGGGATTTCTGTAAGCTGTCCAAGGCCAGTGTGGGTTCAGTTCTTACCAAGATCAATGAAGGAGACCTGGGTTCGGGGACGCAGGTCAGAGTCCAGCAAGGTGCAGTTGCCTGTGAGCTCTGAGCTGAGGCTGTGGGGCTGCCTAGACTGCATTTGGGTGCATATCTGATGAGAGAGAAAAGACTGGTCACCCTATATCCCTAGCCCCAGCCAACTGTCACCCTATCCAGAATGCAGGGACTCAATCAGGTAGGTGACACAGAAACAGCTACCTAGCTACTCGCTCACCAGGGGCAGGAGTCAGTGTTGGGATCAGAGCAGAGGTCAGCCCCTGGGACAGGTGTTCAGGTCACAAGGTACACCTGGGGCAGCCCTGGCATCAGCCTAGGTAGTCAGAGATACCGACAGCCGTGGGGCTGGTCCTAGGGAGATGGCTGGGCTCAGCCCTGGGCATAACATGCCAGTCAGGACGGGTCTCCAAGCTAGGGTCACCCACAAGGGTCAGCACCTGCCTTGTTGGGGCCTTGCACATTGCCACACACACACACTCACCAAAACACCATGGTGGTTCCGGACCACTGTCACTCCCAGGTGCTTCCCCTTGGACATGGGGACATGCTCTGTAACACAGAACTCAGGTAGAAAGGCCAGGGCACTGGGTGGCAAGCCGGGAGCCCAGGTCAGGGGGCATGGGACCACCTTGATCAGGGCCCCACGAGGAACCATTGGCCACTCAGGGCAGCCTCTAGAAGCTGGAGCGGGGGCTTTCAGGGTCAAACCTGGTCACCCACACTCACTCATTGGGCAAGTGCCCACCGATGTCCACTCTGGCCCCAGCCTTGGGACTTGGGGATGGGTGTGCAGCAAAGACTGACCTATTCTTCCACCAGGGGCCCTGTCCTGGCAGGGTGGGTATGGAGAGAAGCCCACTCGTTGGGTGTGAACTGGGCTGGAGGAGCAGGCCAGAGGCTGCAGTATGGCACTGTAGGCCGAGGACCTCCAGCCTCGAAGACTTGTCCCTGTGGAATCTTCCCTTTGAGTCATGGGATCACGCACTCTGTGTCACAGACAGTCTGCTTACGCAGCCCAGTGGTCATCAGTACGCATGTGACTTGAGTTGGATTGTGTGGGTTTGGCAGAGTTTGGCTAATGAGGCAACCATTCATTCACGTAGCATGTAGTGCACACTTCGTATATGCCAGGCTCCATGTGTCATGGCCACAGAGAGACTGGCACGGGTCAGGCTGAATTCCACTAAGGTGTGAGGAGTTGTGTTGGGATGGGCTGGGACTGGGGCTTGCATCTGAGGAGTCACCAGTACTAAGGTGTGATCCCATGGCCGCACTGGCAACCAAAGGACATCTCTGAGCGGTGGCTGCCTTTCCTGTGAGTGGCGTGGTTTTGAGGACTGGAGGCGAATGAAGCACTCAGCAGAGAGCACTCACTCTGTGGAAGGTCTCGCTCATGCTGTTGGGGTGGAAGGCTGGCTCTGCGCATTGCTGGAGCAGGGGTGGACAAGCTGCAGGAGGTGCATCTGGGGTTGGAATGGTTTGGGTTGGGCTGTGCGGGATGCCTGCCCAGGGCTGCTGGAGAGCACTCCCTGGAGTTGGGGCTGACTCACCCACGGGCCGGCACTGGATTTCATTCTGGACGAGAGAACACTGGTGTAGGGGCCATGATGGCCTGCTGGTTCTCGGGCTGGTGACCAGGAGCCTGGTGGGGGTGGGGGCATAGACGGTAAAGCTGAGCTGACTGCTGGCTCCCTTCTCCCCTGCCTCCCGGCATGATGTGCCCATGAGCACTGCAGCTCTCTGTGTGGCCAGCGAGGGAGAAGGCCCCAACCTGGAAAAGGGCTGCAGACTCCCAACCCAGCCCTCCAGGCTGCATGAGGGGCAGGCATATCTTCAGGCATGAAATGGTTAAATGCAACCCCTCCTTCCCTGTACCCACCCTGTCAGAGATGCTCTCTTGTGGGGGGTGGCAGAACCAGGAAGCCACCACTGGTTCTGTTGGAGGCAGTGCTGGCTTCCTGGTGGCTGTCCAGGGGACCTGCCCCGGTGATAGCGTCGCCCCAGGAGAACACCAGGTGCCCCAGCCTCTGGGTCAGTCACAGCGGGAGGTTTGGGGCTGGGTGCCTGAGCATGACACAGGCAGCCCCAGGGGAGGTGATTCCTGGCTGGAAGCTTCCGGTCCCTGTCCCCAGCCCCAGCCCAGACCCGAGAGACAGCAGGGTCCAGGGTCAGCCTGAACATCTTCCCTGTGGCCACCTGAGGCCAGGGGTGAGCGCCTCAGGCTGGTAGGGGAGGGGGCACAGGGCTCTTGATGCTGAGGGCAGTAGGGAGCACAGAAAAGGGAAGCCCAGGACTCGTCTACACCTCGAAAGGTCACTGTGTGGCTGCTGTGGTTGGGGGGCAGAGAGAGCACAGGATGGGGGGCAGAAATGAGGTTCCGTCTCCACTTCCTCAGCCCCTGTCGCTCTCCATATTAGGCAACGCATTCACATTTCTGTGTGGTGTACTGAATAATACCGAGTCTGCACCTGTGTGTGGCCCCTAGGCAGATCCACCCCCTGACGCAGTCTTGTGCTGCCACAGCCAGTGGGCCCCTTTCTGTCCTTGTGTCCCTTGGCAGCCCTGGGCATAAGCGACCGCCTCCTGAAACCTCTTCCCCCTCCACGCGCCCCACTCCCTCATTGCGCTGCCGCTCTGTTGCTAGCTGCCGGGCCAGTGGGCATCTCGAGCTCAGAATGCCCAAGACAGGGCTCACGCCTGGTCCCCACACCTGCTCCCACCGTCTTCCCCACCAAGCGGCCCACCCACCACCAACTCCCGAGCCTGGGGACATCCTTCTCAGGCTTTTTCCTCAGTTACATCTAGAGTGGATCTCCTCCCTCCACTTGCGTGGCCGCCACCATCTTATCTGACCTATGGTAATCACCCTATTTTTTTTTTTTAAGATTATTTTATTTATTTGAAAGGCAGAGTGACAGAGAGGGAGAGACAGAGAAAACAAGATCTTCATCTGCTGGTTCACTCCCCAAATGACTGTATCAGCAAGGGCTGGACCAGGCTAAAGCCAGGAGCCAAGACTCCATCCAGGTCTCCCACATGGGTGGCGGGAGCCCAGGTACTTGAGCCGTCCTCTGCTGCCCCCCAGGTGCACGAGCAGGGAGCCGGGCCTCGTACTGGTACTCTGATATGGGATGTCCACATCACAAGCAGAGGCTCGCCCACTGGGCCACAACATGTGTGTGTGTGTGTGTGTGTGTGTTTACAGGCAGAGTGGATAGTGAGAGAGACAGAGAGAAAGGTCTTCCTTTACTGTTGGTTCACCCTCCAATGGCCGCCGCGGCCGGCGTGCTGCGGCCGGCTCACCACGCTGATCCAATGGCAGGAGCCAGGTGCTTCTCCTGGTCTCCCATGGGGTACAGGGCCCAAGCACCTGGGCCATCCTCCACTGCACTCCCTGGCCATAGCAGAGAGCTGGCCTGGAAGAGGGGCAACCGGGACAGAATCCGGCGCCCCGACCGGGACTAGAACCTGGTGTGCCGGCGCCGCAAGGCGGAGGATTAGCTTAGTGAGCCGCGGCGCTGGCTCCTATTTATTTATTTTAAATAGCAACTCACTCCCTTGCTTCAGCAGCCTCCCAGGCACTTAGAAAAAAGACCAGAGCCTTTCCTGCAGCCCACGGGGCCCTGCACAACCGGGGCCCCGCCCTACCCCTGAAGCCTCTCCCGTGCCCGCCGCACAGCCCTCGCTTCCCCAGGCTGCCTCACTCAGTCCTCTCCCTCCAGCCTGCTTCCTCGCTAGTGCTGGCTCTACGGCCTGTGCCTCTCAGCCCAGCTCCGCCTCGCATCGCATCACCGGCTCGCTCGCTTTCTCAGAACTTGCCAGCATCTGATAGAACCCTGTGTCGCTGTTCACCTGCTTTCTCGCTGTCTCGCTCACTAGACAGGAAGCTCCAAGGATCCTGTCTCTCTCGATCCAGGTATCACTCCCAGAGCCTGGAGCAGTGTCTAGCACAGACGGAGGCTCAGTAACAGCTGCAGGACTAATCTGGGGGAAAGCCGAGTGCTGCTAAGCTCTGCTCCTCTGTTTGGGTTCTGCTGCTGAGCTCCCAAACTAGGTCACCCCCTCAGCAACCAGCCTGAGCCTCAGCCCTGAAGGGTGGGCTCAGAACTGGGCTCCACCCCAACCACGTTTTGCTGGAGGGCAGCCTTGGCTCTCCCTCCCCTTCGGACTTCACCCCCTAGCCGTTGGCTCTATACGATCACCCCAAACATCATTCCCCAGGGTGCCTCCCCAAAGGCAGGTGCAACCTGACCCTTCCAGGCCCTCCCGTGGCCTGGACTGTTGGAGTCCCACCCACAACCATGGCCTTTTTCCCACCCCCAACTGTGAGTTCCAGGACACCACCGTGTGTGGGCTGTGCAAGTTGGCTGTGCACTGCAGATGGCTCAGACCGCCACGCAGGCCCGTGGCCAGGGACCCAGTCTCGGCCGCCTCTGCTCCCACCCCTTCCGCACCCCCCCTGGCTGGTGGTCTCCAGGTTTATGGCCGGAATGACTGCAAACCTATGACTGACCAGCTGACAACCCTGCACCCCCTGTTCTCCTGCCTTCTCGCAGCACTAACCCAGCCCTGTTCTCAGAGGCTGGTCCCCAGCTCCCAGGGGAAGGCCTGCCTTACGGCTTGCTCCGTGCCCTCTGGGGCAGCCAAAGCCAGGATGTGGCAGGCCTGCTGTGGTATATCTTAGAGAGGAACAGGGAGGGGGACACGCCATTTTCCTGTGCACAGGGCGCCCGTCCGTGCTTCTCCCTGGCTCATTTCCTGCTCCGTGCAGCAGGCCTGTGGTTGTCAACCCCATCATCTGTGGTGGGAGCCCAGAGTGCCTTCACCACATCCTCTTCCCAGCCTGCTCAAACTCATGAGCCCCTGTCTGCTTCAGCAGGGGTTGGGGGGGTGTTCCGTGAGCCCCCCAGGTCCTCTCCCTCCTCCTTGGCAGGCCCTGAGCTCTGTGCCAGGGGCTGCAGACTCCCCTTGGTCCCCTTGGCCCTGCATCTGCGGGACAGGGGCTGCAGCTGAGGAGGGCCCCACTGGGGTTGGCGGGAAGGGACTGGGCAGGGGATGGCCACAAACACGTCAGCCCAAACCCCACTCACGGGTGGCAAGCGGTTTGGAAAATTGAACACCGAGCCAATACATAACCTACCACCCAGTGGTTCCACTCAAGGTGCTACAAGGCCCAGGGAAGCTGCCCCTCACCAGTGCTGTTCACATGGCAAACTCCAGCAAGGAGGATGGGCGGCCTCGCCTCAGGCAACACCGAGGGGGACGTTCCTGGGCCAAGAGCACACACCGTAGGCCTTCGTTGTGCCAAGTTCCCAAAGCCGGAGGACGGCCTGCAGAGATGAGGTCAGCTGGAGGTTGTTCTGGCTAGGGGATGAGTCTGGGAGGGGCTTCCGGGAGGGGCTCGGTGGTCTTGACCTGGGTGCAGCCCGCACAAGCCGTTCACTCTGCACTCACTGGGCTGCCCACGTAGCGTGGGTGCCGTGTTCTGGCTGCTGTTTGTCATTAGAATGTTTACCAAAACGAAATGCAACAAACACCAAATCTATCCTCCTGTAGCCAAAACCTCTCTGACAACCTTTCACTGCCCGCTCTCTGCTTCTGGCTCCTCCCAACCCTCGGTGCCTGGGAGAGGCGGCACCGCCCGTCTCCTGCATTTGATTTTCTGTCACTCCCGGCCTTGGCCTTGCGCAGGCTGGCTTCCGGGCTTTTGACCAAGCTGCTGTCTCTCCTGGCCTTCCCCTTTCCCACCCCTTCTCATGCTAATTCCTGTGCAGGTCCTAGCAGAAACGCTGAAGAACACACCTGCCTTGACTACCCCAGGCGCCCCACGGGAGCGGACGTCACTCCTGTCATTGTCTGGCTTGTTGGTTTCCCTCATGAGCCCAGGAGCTCCAGGAACCAGTGGCCGTGTCTCCTTCACTAGCTTATCCCCCACACTCTGCCTGCATGAATACCTGCTGAGTAAGTAGATGGGCCGAGCCTATCCTGACCACTTAAATCCATGGACTAAAGCCGAGAGCCAGGTGCAGGCCTAGCGCCTAACACAGCAATCTTTGCTATTCTAGGAACAGAGGTTGGGCCAGCAGGTGATACATTGTTCCTGGCATGGAGAGGGTTTAATCTCTGGAGCAGTGGTTTGGGGACTCACAGATCATCCCTATCAGTGAGCAACGCCTGCCCTTTCTACTTTACTATTGCTGTGTGGGAGTTCTTGGTTGCAAGCAACAGAAATTCACCAGTGACAACTTAAGCAACCAGGAGTTGAAACCTAACAGTCACCAGATTTTTCCACTGTGGAGATGAGGACAGCAGGGCCAGGAAAAAGATCCAAGACTGCTTGGTGGGTAAGGCCTTGATCAAGTCCAGGGCCCATCAGGCTGCCTAGGATCTACCAGTGTCCACCCAGCCCCCACCACATGGAGCTGCTCTGCACAGCCAGGAGCCCTGAGCACTTCACCAGGCTCCACCCCAAGGCCCATCGGGACCCTGGGCTCTGACGCCCACGCATGCTGGGCCTGAGCCTTGCCAGGTGATAGAACGAGCACAGACAAAGCCTCATGACCACTATGCAACAAACAGGAAGAGGAGGAGGGACGAACAAAGAGACAAAACAACAAAATGGAATGTTTTGTGAACCTGACTTTAAAAAGACACGGTTCTGGACCCAGTGTTGTGGCATAGTGGGCAGAGCTGCCGCCTGCCATGCAAACATGCCACGTGGGCACTGGTTCCTATTTGGCTGCTCTGATTCTGATCCAGCTCCCTGCTAATGTGCCTGGGAAACAGCGAAAGATGGTCCAAGTGCTTGGGAGACCTGAAGAAGCTCCTGACTCCTGGTTTCAGTCTGGCCCAGTCCCGGCCATTGTGGCCACCTGGGGAGTGAACCAGTGGATGGGACATCTCTCTGTCTTTCTTTCTCTCTCTGCAACTTGGGGTTTCAAATAAATCTTTTTTTTTAAAAAAAGACACAGCTCTGAAAGCCATTTTGGTGACAACAGGAGAAACTGAAAGGGGCCTTGGATCTGGTGACCTTCACTTCAGAGCCTCTCCTCAAACTACAGACACGCTCAGACATCAGCACCCTGCCGTCACAGAATGCACCTCAGATCCTTCCCTTCCTGTCCACCTCCCCCGGACGACACATGGGCTCCCTGAGCTCACCGTTGTATCCCCAAGGCCTAGCAACAAATTCATGGAAAATGCACATTACAAGAAAATTATGTATGGATTTCATTTTTTTTTGCACCCAGACTATTTTTAAAAATAATTATGTGTGTATTTATTTGGGGAGAGAAAGAGGGAGAGGGAGAGGGCTCCTATCTGCTGCTTCACTCCCCAGATGCTCACATCTGAGCAGCTAGGGCTAGGCCAGAGCTGAATCCAAGAGCTGGGATTAGTTCAGGTCTCCCACATGGGGGGCAGAAACCCAATCACCTGAGCCATCCCTGTTGCCAAGCAGGGTCTGCGTTAGTGGTATGCTGGAGCCAGGAGCCGGACCAGGAACTGAACCCAGGTACTCCCACATAGCAAATGGACGTCTTGACTTCTAGGCCAAACGCCTGCTCCTGCACTTCCCTTTTAACTCCATTTCCCCACGAGCTTTCTGAAGTACCCTCGTGGTGGGAGCTCCACATTGGTTGCATGGATGGGCATTGCATAGATAATTTACAATTTGCCTTCAGACCCAGGTTAGTAACCAGGGCGCCAGTTTGAGTCACTGGACCTGCTTTTCGTCTCATTTGACTCACACCTTCCTTTTTTCCCTCTTTCACGATGCCAAGCAGGGCTACAATCAACGGTGTCCCACGTGCCTGACAACTGCTCTGGCACTTGAATCGAGGGGCGAAATGTCCGATTCAAAGGCCAGTGCACCCTCAGCTTCACCCGATGCCGGGGTGGTGGGACCAAGTCACACTCCCACACAGTCCTGCTGCACCCCTGTCTCACCAGCACACGGTGGGCACAGTTTACACTTTTACCTATCTAACGAGTGGATACTGATGATGTTTTTCAAATACCAGATAACATCTGTTGAGCTTCACTTTGGAAAGCAACTCTGTGAAACCCTTTGTATGCAGATCATTCCGAATGGTCTTTGCAACAACGCATGGAGGCAGGCAACTCACCCCCACCCCACCCCACCCCACCCCCAACTGCAGACAGGGGAAGCTGAGGCTCAGGGCTGAGCTCCTTGCTAAGGCTGTAAACACAGAGCCCAGCTGCCCTTGAATCAGGCCTAGCAGCCCCTCAGCCTGCCTCTGAACCCCTCCTCTCTCGGGCACAGTCCCTGTGTTCTCACTATCTTGTTGCCTTCCAAATTTTCTGTATCTAGCACTTGTCACTTTGGTAAGGAGCCTTCGTCGACTCTGTTTTAAAGTGGGTGTTAAGGGACTGGTGCTGTGGCTCAGGGGGTTAAGCCGCTGTCTGCAAATTCAATGCCAGTATCCAATATGGGTGCTGGTTCAAGTCCTGGCTGCTCTACTTCTGTTCCAGCTCCCTGCTAATGGCCTGGAAAAGCAGCAGAAGATGGCCCAAGTGCTTGGGCCCCCGCACCCTCGTGGGAGACCCGGAGGAAGCTCCTAGCTCCTGGCTTCAGATCAGTGCAGCTCTGGCTGTTGCAGCCATCTGGGGAGTGAACCAGAGGGTGGAAGATCTCTCTCTGTCTCTTCCTCTCTATCTCCTTCTCTCTCTAACTCTGACTTTCAAATAAAAAAGTAAATCTTAAAAAAAAAAAAAAAAGTAAAGTAGGTGTTAAGTCTCTTTCCCCCCCAGGCAGTGGAGCTCAGAGAACCAGGGTGAGGAGAGGGTTCAGACCCTGGGGACCCCCGACACTGGCCTGGTGCTCACTGCTTCTCTCTTCAGCTCACCCCTGTGACAGTGAAAGGTTCTCCCCAGGCTGCAGAGGTGGGGCGCCAAGGCAACCCCCGCCCTCTGCCTGCCGCCCCCACTCACCAGGTCTGGTTGGTGCTGGGGTCCTGGTGCAGAAGTGCACTCAGCACGAAAGGTGCTCCCGCAGGTGTGACCCAGGCCCCGGCCTCGTCCACGTTGAAGGCCGCTAGGGGCGTCGGTACTGTGGGTGAGAAGAGGCACAGAGTTGAGCCACAGCTGGGCCTTTCATTATCCCTCCAAGTCTTGTGCTGCCACTATACCCATTTTATAGATGAGAAAAGTGAGACTCCCCAAAGATACTTTTCCCCATGGCAGTAGGACTGGATGCAGATATATCTGACCCAGAGCCTCTGGGCCAGCAATGGAGCCCCTTCCTCCAGGAAGCCTTCTCAGGCTCTCCCCTGAGATGCACGTCCTGCCTCCCCCTACCCTTTCCTGCGCCTGTCACACAGCACGTATTCATCACTGGACAAGTTAAAACAGACCGTGAGCACCAGCAAGAGGGTCCACTTTATGCTCATTCTGTTGTGTGTCTCTCAAGTGATCCAAGAGAAAACATCTGACGGTACTTAGTGCAGGGGCATTTGTGGCGCAGCAGGTTAAGCCACCACCTGTGATGCCAGCAACTAACATGGGCACCAGTTCAAGTCCCGGCTGCTCCACTTCTGACCAGCTCCCTGCTAAGGCGCCTGGGACAGCAGCGAAAGATGTCCCAGGTCCTTGGGTCCTTGCACCCACGTGGCTCCTGGCTTGATCTGGCCCAGCCCCAGCTGTTGTGTTCATTTGGGAAGTGAACCAGTGGATGGAAGACCTCTCTCCCTCTCTCTCTGTAACTCTTGCCTTTCAAATAAATAAATCTATCAAAGAAAGTTAGTGGAAAAACAGAGTTAAAAGATATTATTTTTGGTATTAAAAACTTTTGGAATCCTTATATAGTTTTTTCGTAATGTGCATTTCTGTGACTGCTTTGACAAGCTGTTGTAATGCATGGATTTCAAAATTTTTTTTGCACCAAAATAAAGTTACCTTTTAATTTCATTTTTCCAGAAACTTTTTAAAGTCCTCATGTGTCCTCAAAGAGTACTTGCGCAGGAATGTTTACAGCAGCTTTATTTGTGATACCCCTAAACTGGAAACAAGCAAACGCTCACCAGTGGGACAATGGCTAAACCCCACTGTCCGGGCGCAGCCACACACCAGGGTGCTGCTGAGGACTAAAAGGAAACAAACTGCTCACACAGCAGCGTGAGCGCATCTCAGGAGTGATGCTGATGGGGCGGGCGTTGGGTGCAGCCGTAAAGGTGCAGCCTAGACGCCCTCATCCCGTCTCTGACTGCCTGCCTGCAGTCCCCAGATACTTCGCTTCCAATTCAGCTTCCTGCTAGTGCACGCTCTGGGAGGCCGCAGCGGTGGCTCTAGCTCTTGGATAGCCTACCACCCGTGTGGTAGTTTGGCTTAGTTTTGGCCTGGTCCAGCCCTGGCTGTTGCGGTCATTTGGAGAATGAAACCAGTGGATGGAAGATCTCTCTCTCTTTCTCTCTCTACCTTTCAGATAAAATGAAAATAAATATTTTTTTTCAAATTATGCTGAATAAAAGAAGCCTTACCTAAAAAGAGCATTTACTGTTTAATTCCATTTATACAATGTTCTGAAATTAGCAGAATTAATTTATAGTTTTTTTTTGTTTTGTTTTGTTTTGTTTTTTGACAGGCAGAGTGGACAGTGAGAGAGAGAGACAGAGAGAAAGGTCTTCCTTTGCCGTTGGTTCACCCTCCAATGGCCGCCGCTGCAGCCGGCGCACCGCGCTGATCCTGGCAGGAGCCAGGAGCCAGGTGCTTTTCCTGGTCTCCCATGGGGTGCAGGGCCCAAGCACCTGGGCCATCCTCCACTGCACTCCCTGGCCATAGCAGAGAGCTGGCCTGGAAGAGGGGCAACCGGGACAGAATCCGGCGCCCCAACCGGGACTAGAACCCAGTGTGCCGGCGCCGCAAGGTGGAGGATTAGCCTATTGAGCCACGGCGCCGGCCTAATTTATAGTTTTTAAAAAAATTGCCTGGGGTGCACCAGGGTGTGTAGGAATTAACTGGGTAGGAAGTACAAGGGATTTTCTGGGGTGATGGAACCATTCTGTCTCTTGATGGAGGTTTGGATTACAAAGGTGCATGAGTTTGTCAAAGCACAATGTATGATCCACTTGTGCATTTCACTGTGCATATATTTTACCTAAAAAAAGAAATAAACGCAAACATATTTTTGAACTCTAGGCAATATGTTTAGGGATAGATTGTGCTGATGTCTGCAATCTATTTGAAGTACATCAAAATATACAATGATAAAGAAAATTTATTTTAATGTTGACAATAGCAAAATCCAATTGTCCACTGTTCTGTACATTTGATATTTTTCATGAACAATTTTATGGGAAGAATTGATATTGACAATCAGGCCCCAATGAGGCTGTGCTAACTCATGCTGCAACAAGAGAATGGGAGGTCATTTCCCCACATCACCTGAACTCTGTGAGCAGAGCCTTTTTCCATTTTTTTTTTTAAGTCTTCCATCCACTGGTTCACTCCCCAAATGGCCACAAAAGCCAGGTTTGGGCCAGGTGGAAGCCAGGAGCCAGGAGCTTCATCTGGGTCTCCCACGTGAGTACAGGGGCCCAAGGACATCTGCTGCTGCAATCTCAGGCACACTAGCAGGGAGCTGGATCAGAGATGGAGCAGCCAGGATTTGAACTGGTACCCATATGGGATGTTAATGCTGCAGGAGGCAGATTTACCCACTATTCCACAGCACCAGCCCCTATCCGTGTTTTAAGACAAGTTTTTAATTAAGAGCAAGATCAAGCCTTTTATACGTGTGCTGCCTATTTGTACGCATTGCCCATTTTTGGAGTACATATTGACTATTTTCTTATTCATTCGTATGAGCTTTTTCCTACCCAAGAGAAATTGGCAGTGTGTTACAGGCAATGTTGCTCACTGAGCTGTTTTTTATTTGGCTTGCTTATTACATTTTCCCCATAGCTACTTTTTATTATGTCAAATGGTTTTTCCTTTGTCACTCTTGAGTTTTATGTCATGCTTCCCCACTCAGCAATGTTTTTAAATTCACTCACATCTTGGACATTTTTGCTTGTTCGTTTAACTTCACGCTTGAATCTTTGCCACAGGGTCAAACAGGGATCCAACTATGCTTGTTTGTCCCCTAAATGAAATTGTCTAAACATTCTTTCTCCTTTGTAAAAAGTTGTGTTTTTTTTTTGTTTGTTTTTTTGTTGTTGTTGTTGTTTGTTTGTTTTGACAGGCAGAGTGGACAGAGAGAGAGAGAGACAGAGAGAAAGGTCTTCCTTTTTGCCGTTGGTTCACCCTCCAATGGCCGCCGCGTCCAGTGTACTGTGGCCGGCGCACCGCGCTGATCCGATGGCAGGAGCCAGGTACTTATCCTGGTCTCCCATGGGGTGCAGGGCCCAAGCACTTGGGCCTTTCTCCACTGCACTCCCTGGCCACAGCAGAGAGCTGGTCTGGAAGAGGGGCAACCGGGACAGAATCCGGCGCCCCAACTGGGACTAGAACCCGGTGTGCCTGCACCACAAGGCGGAGGATTAGCCTAGTGAGCTGCGGCGCCAGCCTTTAAAATTTATTTTATTTATTTGTGTCAGAGAGAGACAGGCAGACAGATAGACAGACTGGCAGATTTTTCCATCTGCTGATTTACTCCAAAATGCCTTCAGTGGCCAGGACTGTGCCAGGGTTGGTGCCAGGAGCCCAGAACTCAATCCAGGTCTCCCACATGCATGGCAGGGGGCCATGTACTTGAGCCATCTCCACTGCTGCTTTCCAGGTTATACATTAGCAGGAAGCTGGAATCAAAGCCCAGACAAGAAGTTGAACCTAGCAGCTCTGATGTGGGATGCAGGCACCCTAACCCCTGTCCTTACCACCAGGCTAAACACCTGCCCCTTCTACATGTTGTAAACTGTTTTGAGGTTTGGTATTTATTTTGTCCTCAAGGTATTTTTCTGTGCTATAACTTTATTATTATTATCATTATTATTAGATTTATTTATCTGAAAGGCAGAGTGACAGAGAGAGAGAGGGAAAGAGGAAGAGAGAGATTTTCTATTTGTTGGTTCCTTCTCCAAATGACCACAAAAATCAAGACTGGGCCGGGCCAAAGCCAGGAGCCAGGAACTCCATTCTGGTTTCCCACATGGCTGGCAGGGGTCTGAGCCCTTGAGCCATCATCTGCTGCCTTCCCAGGCACATTAACAGGGAGCTGGATTGGAACTAAAGCAGCTGGGACTCTAGGCAGCACTCAGATGGATATGGGATGCCAGTGTCACAAGCATGGGCCAATCTGCTGGGCCACAGTGCCAGCCCATGTTTTTTTGTTTGAAGACTGCTTTCTCTATTTGAAAGGCAGGAGGAGAGAGGGAGGGTGGGAGAGAGAGAGAAACTTCTATGCACTGGTTTGCTCCCCAAGATTGAAACAGCCAGGACCAGGCCAGGCCAAAGCCAGGAGCCCCAGATCTCTATGTGGATGCGGGTGGTGGCAGGGGTTGAAATACTTGATTCATTCTTCCTGGCCCCAGGGTGCATATTCAGGAAGCCGGACTCAGGAGCAGAGCTGGGACTCAACTCCAGGCCCTCTGATGTGGGAATGGGTGTCCCAGCTGCTGTCTTGACCGCTGTACCACTCACCCCAGACCTTCCACTCCTGGACATGCTACTGCCTGCATGGATCTGCTTTTCTTTGGAGATTCACTGATCTCGGTAAATGCATTTTCTGTTTGTTGTACTTTTTAAAAAAAGATTTATTTTATTTATTTGAAAGACAAAGTTAAAGAGAAAGGTAGAGACAGAGAGAAAGGTCTTCCATCTGCTGGTTCACTCCCCAGATGGCTGAAATGGCCAGAGCTGCGCCGATCCAAAGCCAGGAGCCAGGAGCTTCTTCTGGGTCTCTCACGTGGGTGCAGGGGCCCAAGGATTTGGGCCATCTTCTACTGCTTTCCCAGGCCATAGCAGAGACTGGATCAGAAGGGGAGCATCCAAGACTAGAACCAGTGCCCAGATGGGATGCTGGCACTGCAGGCAGCAGCTTTAACCCACTGTGCCACAGCACCAACCCCCTGTTTGTTGTATTTTTTAAATATGTTTATATATATATATATATAT